CAGGGTTGCCAGATACTTGGGGAGCCGAACCGCCAATACGTGGTACTGGTATAGCCCAAAAATAGCCCCCTCCAACATTTTCCCCGCCAATTCCCGCCTACTTCAAACAGGAAAATTGGAAAAACTTATTATATGCGAAAAATCCAGTATAATACAAATAAAAAAAATTATAGCATATTAAACTCTTTAATCTTTAATCTTTCATACAAACTATATTCTCAGGTGTAGATAGCTACGAGGGTTCAATTTAAGAATGTCTTACACCCTTTTCGACAAAATTCACGCTTTTTGAATTTTTCTGGCAAATTGTTCATGGGACACTTAATGACTCACGAAACTTCATGATTGTACAATCATTTTCCTGCGTTTTTTCTAAAACTTTTCGGAAATTCACAACCTGTAGAAAAAAATGCAGGGAAATGATTGCACTACCATGAAACTTCGTGAGTCAATCAATAATGATAAAACGCTAAAACGGTATATTATTTCGCGTCAATCCGATCAATAATTTGCCAGAAAAATGAAAAACGTGAATTTTGGCCGAAAGGGTGTAGTGGAGTTCAACAAGTTCAATTATACGAACGTCAATTATAGTACAAGGATCAACCGTGTCAATATTATGTGCTGGAACGAATAATGGTAGTTAGGCCCGGTTGCACCGAGCCCTGTTAGCTATTTTTACCCCAAGATAAATTTATCCATGTGTAATCCTTATGGACTAATAGACCGTATTCTGGCGGTTTAGTTAACGGACGATGGTGCAACCGGACCTAAATTGTTAAGCTTTATTGAATTTTCCACATTATCATTTGCGGCCCTGGAAAATTAAAAATTTGGCGATGCCCCATTGGTAAGCCATTTGGTAACACTCGTGACGTTTGACTCTCGTGAAATTTGACTATCCCTTTGTGACCCTCGTGATGGTTGACTATCGTGAAATTTGACTATCCCCGTGTGACTTTTTTGTTGTTTGACTCTCGTGAAATTTAACCATTCCCTTGTGACCCTCGTGACCTACAATTCCGAGTGGAATTCTTTCCCCAGTCCTACAGTATGTTATATTTCAAAAAATCATGCCGCCAGCATATAGCCTACTTGGCGGGTTATAATTTCAATTCTATTTGAATTTATTTAATGACTAAAGGTGGTTAGGCAGCGTGCTGAGTTGAATTTGGAGTGAGAATTTCCGTGGTTCCCGGTAGCTTAGTCGGTAAGAGTGCCCGGCGCGTAACTGGGAGACCCGGGTTCGGATCCCGGCTGGGTGAATCGGAATTTTTTCTCTCTAAATTTCAATGCTATTTGAATTTTTTTTAGCCCGGAGAAAAAAATTTGCCTGCCAAAATGCATCCCAAATAGTCCATTTGGCTGTAAATAGCCCCATCTGGCAACCCTGGTCGATGCAATCGCCGCTCAGTGGCGCCAGTTGGAAACAAAAATTCCATAGATCACAAATTTCACGCAGTTCCTCCCAAGCACCCGCACATTTCGCACTTTGCACGACTGACTCTTCATAAAGTGCTTCTTGCCAAAGAAGTAACCTCAACCGTATACCCCCACTCTACCCAAATTCCCACCTATGCCAGTGCTCCTCACCACTGAAATCGAGGTTACTTCTTTGGTCAAATTTAGTATACCTCTCGTCATCTATATTATATTTTTAAAAAGCCATGCAACCATGCAGCCCGGCGTATAGCCCACTTGGCGGGTTATAGCCCGGAGCAAAAATTTGCCCGCCAAAATGCATCCTAAATAGCCCAATTGGCGGGAAATAGCCCAATCTGGCAACCCTGCCTACTGCCGAGTTACCCGCACAGGCAGTTTGTCCAGCCGTCAGATTCGACCGTGGCGGCATCCCTCCGTTGGGATCGAACTACTTTTGGCTTGGGGTCAGTCCAACCCCGAGATCTGAGCTTCTACTTTAGTCAATCCTTTTTGGCTAGAGCCTAAATAACACGGCGGGGAATCCCCGCGGAGATGCCCGGAGTCGCAGAGTGGCATGTGGTGACCAGACTAGGGTTAAGGTGTTTCTCCTGAAAAGTCAAAGTAATGAAAAAAAATTGGAAAAATCACGAGAAAAAATTCTGAGAATGCTGCATCATTAAGAATTCTTGCACATTCTTCTCAGTCTCAAGAAAAAAAATAATGAAATTTGGATGTTTTTGTAACCCCTCCAGCTATAACTTCCGAGGTTACCCCACTCTCAATTAGGGAAATTTCCATGGCACCCAAAAAAATACTGACCTATTGAAGAAAAACTAGTGGGTGATAAATTCAATCTTTCTTGAGAACACGTATAAGTTTCAGATTTTTTTCAGATTTCATAAGAAAGTTATTTGAACAAATGATTCGGAAAATTATGAGTTTCGAGGCGATTACGCTCTCACGCGCAGGCGCGTGATTCAAATGTCAGTCAGCACCATGAGAAAGCTATGGGTTGGACCATGGAACTGAGAGAGAGAAAACACTCAACAGGTTTACCAACTGGAGACGTATTTTAATATTATTTCAATAATTATAAAAACATCCAATAAAATTATTTGGTGATAAGAAAAAAATCAATCAATTCGATGAATAAAATCAATATTCAAAAAATGTTCAAATGCACACTTAAATAGTTACTTGAAAATTGGAAAATTTCGTGCTCAGCGATTGAATCAGGGCTCGAGAACAATAAGACTCCTCTTCCGTTTCACCTCCCTGTGATCTACAGGCGAAAAACCTTAAGTTGTCGACAACCACCGGCAACTCCTATGCTTTTTGAATGGAGAACATCGGTAACTGTCGACAAAACAACGGTAACTAGTTGTCGACAACACAACGATAACTAGTTGTCGACATATTATTCCCATCAGTTATATTGATTTTTGCAACCAGAATGATTACGAAAAATGAATTGAAAAAAGTATTTTGAATCTGATAGAAAAAAGGGTATAATAAAAGAGGCATCAACACCCTGGCCACTTGTGGCCGGGTGGCGCTAGTAGAAACATAAATGTCATTATATTTTCAACTTGTCAAGTATTTAAATACTTTTTACTGAACAACTCCGGCACGTGTCAAATAAAAACATCAGAGTTCCGTCGATCGGAAATGCCATGAAAACCCAACCTAAATGGCGGAATACCCATATATTTGTAGAAATAAGACCTTTCGGATAAAATGAGTGCAAAAATATGAAAAAATGAAGCTTTTAGGATCAATATTAGTCCGGACTTACAACCCTTGATGATTATTAACCCAAGTAACTTCGTTGGGTACATTGGCGGTCACACTGTCACATTTAGACTACGTGACCGCTAATGTGACAGTGTCCGGGGGACCCCCGCAAAATTAGACTGTTCACCCTAATAGAGTAATGCTAAAAATTTTTAACGACAAAGATTCCGAAAAGAATGAATTAATTAGTCGTTTACCTCATGGCGTTGCAGATACCTCACGGCACAGTTTCAATAACCAATTCTCCAGTGTATACCCCAGCAATGAACAACATTGCAACTGGTATTTCGCTGTCAGATGCTACTGCTATTGGAAAAATTACCAAAGTGCAGCCAATAGCTGGCGTTCTAATTAAAGACACGAATTTACCTGCATTTGTTACGATGCCACCAATGTCATCAGCTCAACTCACCAATCGCCTCAGTAATAGTCACACTTTGCTGGTGGATTCTGTCAATGAGGTTCCTAAAGATGACATTATCCAGGTAACCAGCAGGCTAGTGCCTTTGAAATCTTACAATTTTTTTAATCTCTTCAGTTGAAATATGGCTCTGATTTCTCTCATCATTGGTCCATCCCTCTTCTATCGTCATTCCTTATTCATCAATAATTGAATAATGTTTTTCTCTCACATTGTGTGTACGTCGATTATATCGTTTTAAGGATATCTTTTACAGTTTAGTACAGATCACACTATAGATTCAACCATTTTCAATCATTAAATTTGTCAATTAAATTGCGTGACAAAAATCTGAAAATCATGAATATTCAGCGTCACTCAAATCACATTTTGCACAGAATTATCATTTTTTCAAGCATTCGTTCGTTTATAGATGAATAATTTAAATTGATTAAACTTTCGGAAACCTTATTTTTTTTGGCATGAAATCGATTTCTGGTAAAATTCTGAATATGAATAATTTTGTTACCATTCCGAACAATTGATGTTTATAGTAGAAAATTGATTGTTTATGAATTATTTATAGGAAATGCTCGTAATTTTCAAAAATTGCAATTTTAAAATTATTTTATTAATCTTTCTCCAAATGTAAACTTTCTAATTTTTTTCAGATTTTTAAAATGTTTTTAACGGTTCAATATCAACATTCAAATTCAGACCTGTTAAAATAATACAGACAGTTTAAATAATAAAATCACTGTAAAATGTCTGCAAACTTTCAACATCATGGTTTTTTTTATGTCATCAGCTTCCCCTTCCCAGTGAAGAAATGGCTGCATCTGTTAATGAAATGACTCTACAATCGTTGAACCCCAATGGTTCCCCAGAGAATCCCCAATTCCTGAAGCAACAGAACGAGAAACGCCAGACTGTTCCACAACAGTCTTGGCCGTCCTTGGGACCAATTCACGAGATGGGAACATCTCTGAAAGCGTTGGCGGAGGCTAGTAACATTACCCTCGAAGCCCTGGAAGCTGCCATTCTACTGAGACAGAAGCAATTGATGGAGAAACATCAAGGGCCGACCACTACATCCACCACCACTACCACACAATCACCGATGAAGAAGTAAGAAATAGCTATTAGAAATTTCTTTTACACACTCATATCGAAATAACTATTGTTAGCGCCAGGGATGCGAATGACGCACGTTTTGAAATCTGTCAAGTCACAAAAATATAACGGTCATGTGACGTCATGTTTTTTCATGTCATAATTTGGGTCACACTGTCGACTCACATATGATAATCAACTAGTTAGATGTAATGTGAACGTCATAAATTTTTCTGTTACAAAATTTTGTCACAAATTTTCAAATTGCACCGATTTTGGTGCAAGGGTTTACTTGCCAAACGTGCCCATCGCCTGAAGGCCTTCAGGCAGAGAATGTTGAATTTGGAGTGAATTTTTCAGTTGAAAATTTCCGTAGAATATCCGGTTTCAAAATTGTGTTATTTTCAGCTGAATAGCATGTCAAAAATTGTGATGAAAAATTGGTGTGAAATCATTATTTTTATTCATTAATCTCACTTAATCAATAAACTCATCACTGATTTTTCTTTTTTAAATTGAAATACGACTGACACGCATGTTGATGCTTTGTGATTGTCCATCCATGGAGGTAATTATGGGGAATTTTCAAATTTCGAACTAGTTGCCGCCATCTGGGGTGCCACTAATTAGATGGGATGTGACGGTCAGGGTAAAACAGTCACGGTTGTATCATGTGATAATAAATTGCCATGGTTGGCCGGGTCACATGACCGTCACTGACGTGTCATGGCATTTTTTCGCATCCCTGGTCCCGACTCAAATGTCAAGGCTATTTCCGAAATTCAAATACATTGTAGAATGTTTGAGAGAGTGATGAAGGGTCTATCAGTGACTCGAGACGTGTCGGGACGTTGCTCGACAGGAGTTCACGCGATGTTGTTTTCTCAAGTATTATTTTGATTACAATTTCATTTATTACTTTACGTTACAATTGAAAGTGCACGATCGATTTGATAGAGACATTGTTTGTAACGAGGAAGAGTGCAATATTTCTTATATTTCTTATTATAGTCCTTCGTTATCCAAACGGTGTTACGAATAATTCAATTCACTCCTGTCCTGTTAACGAACTAATTGTGTTTTACGAACTAAAGAACAATATACGCTACCACTATTTCGGTCCATGAGAGATGTGTAGCGCACGCCGAAGGCCCCCCCCCCCCATTTTTCATCACAATGTATGTTTAAAATTGAGACTGGTTCGCGGTATGGGCCAGTCAGGAATAATCGGGTGAGGTCGGGTTTAGAGTTCGACAGGCTATTGGAGTCGACCGGCCCTCGAGGGAGTACGGATTCATCAGGCATAGAGTTCACATTGGTCTTTGGAAGACACGTAGCGGTATCAATTCATCACGTATAGAGTATACATCTAGGTATTCACGCTCATCAGTGTAAAATGGTATCAGTCATCAATCGTTATTATCACGGTTATTTAATCTTCAATTATCCGGTCAAATAATGAGTTATCTGCGGAAAATTATCAGTGTCATCTGTGGAACATTTATGGTGCAAATAGTGTAAATATCTTTCAATTTGGTGGCATACAGATTCGCCTTGCAGCTAAAATCTCTTTAATTTCACATCCCGGCTCAATCATCCACTCACTTCCTACTCCCGATCCACCCAAAACCTGGCAAATTATCATCAATCCTTAACAGTCTGGAAAGCGGTATTTTCCGCACGCGAAACGTGAAAAATTCCTACAGAACACCGATAGAATGTTATAGCGAATGAATTAGCTTCCTACTCAATTTTTTTATACGTTAATTAAGGTAAATAAATAATGATCTATGTGTTTATTGCAGCAATTATAACAACGCTGGAACCACAAAAGTCATGAACGCTCCTCGGGAGTACTACCCGATGGGTTACGATAAGAACTTTGACGACAATTTCGCTAGTCGAGTTGATCTTCCAGATACAAGTTTCTATTGTGGGGATCAGAAACATTTCCCAGGTCTCTATGCCGATGAGGATTTAGGCTGCATGGTCTTCCACGTGTGCGCTTTAACTGACGACGGCCTAATAATGAAGAGTTTCCTTTGCCCAGAGTCAACTCTATTCGACCAAACGATTCTTAAATGCAACTGGTGGTTCTATGTTGAGTGCAAAAACTCTAAGAGCTTGTACGACAGCAATATCCCCATCAGCAAAAGCTATCAACTCATGAAAGCGCTCGCTTTCTTCTCAGCTTACAAAAACCATGACAACGCAACTTCTCGAGCCGATAAAAGCGGCTCGTGAATTAATTAAGCAATCGTAGCTCTCACCAAAATGTATTTTATCAGTCTTAATTCATGCTCAAGTATCTAAGGGTTAATACTTACATAGAGGCAGATGGGATTCCGAATCTTTGATCGGAACATTATAAGTAAAATTAGAGAGTGGTGGTCAAATTACGAATAATTCTGGAAACAAGTGGGTATAGGATTGGAATCTTCTAACTCTATTCCAGAAATTATTTTGTAAATAGAGTGAATAGTCCAATTATGGAACACTCAAGGCTTTGGAGATTCAGACAATGGTTTGGAAATGAACTATTGTTTGAAAAAATTGAAAAAAAATATTGATCGATTCCAAATTCAGTAGGCTTCTGAAAAAAACGAAAAAATACATTATGTAATGAGAAATAATTTGGAAAAATGAAAAATTATGTTCAAGTCCAAAAGACCTATTACGGAACATTAGAATTTTGTGAGACGGTGAAAGGTTAGGAGCGCGAAGTAATAAAGATATTTTTGTAGAAAAATGTCAACAAGTTCAGATTATAATTGAAAATTCCAATTGTTATGCAAAGAATAAAATTTACTAGTGCACAAACGTAAAAATGAGTAATGTCGATCACATGAACATATAACTCGACTTTCTTCGTATATGAATTCGTCAGAACAATTTAACAAGGAATAGAAACATAAATGTCATTATATTTTTAACTTATCAATTATTTATATGCTTTTGACTGAACCACTCAGCCATGTGCCAAACGAAAACATCAGTGTTCCGTCGATTGGAAATGCCATGAAAACTCAACCCAAATGGCGGAACACCCATACATTTATAGAAATAAGAACTTTCGGATACAATGAATGCAAATATATGAAGAAATGAAGCTTTTAGGATCAATATTAGTCTAGACTTACGCCATTTGATGATTATTAACACAAGTAACTTCGTTGGGTACATTGGCGGTCACACTGTCACATCTAACCAATCACCTGGCGCAAAATGGCTGAAAATAACAGCTGGCAGGGTTTATTTCCATTATTTAGCGAACAACAGCAGATAGACCACCAAATCTATTCTCATATAGATGGAAATTAGACTTGATTAAAAAAAAAATCAAATCCATAGAATAAGTATTATTCAAGTATTCCGTTAATTGGGGGGAGGGGGTTCCGCAATTGGACTGTTCACTCTATCCCGGGAATTAGAGAGCTGGAAGAAATTTTTTGTAACGAATTCTATCAACTATAAAAGTTTTTCGATAAATTCCTATGGGTATTTCCCTTTTTTGAGGACTCGTTTTTTTTCCTCAAATTTTTCGAATTGTTAATGCAATTGGTTGAATAATTGATGATTAGACGCTGAGGCTCTTGCCTACTGCTTTAAGATGTTTGTATATATAATTTATTATTTAATAATTAGAGGATTTTAGCGATTGTAATTCTAGTTTTCGTACAGGGTTATTAAGGTTTTGGTGAGTATTCTCATAATAGTAACTGTTGAATGGATTATTTTGCTACTACTGATTAGGATCATGAATTGTGTAAATAATTTGTACGGAAATGTGAACGAAAATGATGTTTTTTCTACTTTTTTGTTTTATTAAAAATAAGCATCGAATATCCATATATAATGATTGGTAATCAATCGGATAAATTGAATTGGATAAATTATCAATGATATTGTGTTTTTTATTTATCTTCTTTCCTATTTCTGAAAGGAAAGTTGGGCGTTGAAACGCAATGAATTTGTCACTAAATACTAATGCGTTATTGCGCGGATAATTTTCACAAAAAAAGTGTCTGAAAAAAAATGGAAATATACCTTTTATAGTTAAACATTCATGATCAAATTTGAGATTTAACTATGAATCCATTAGCCCTGTTGATGGCGATATTGATTGTGGAATCATCTCCATGATGAGAGACGACCAGAGAAAGAAAGTAAAAGATCCCTTTTGTAGACACTATGGAAGCCTGGGGTGTTCCATACTACTTCGAACAATCGAAAGACTTTTTTTTTCAAACTTCATGAAAAATTGAATATGTTGTCGATTTATTCCATACATGCCTTGGATAGTTATTAACCCACTGCTTTGCATAAGTCTCGAATCGTCTCGGTGTGAGAGGAGTGGGGGGTCCGTCCGAGTATTAGTGCGCCATAAGAGTAGCACGCTGGCGCACGCACACTACTACAAAACGGCGAAAAGTGGGGTACCGTGAGACGAAGCAAAGGGTTAAAAAGTTTTTTTTTTTTTTAAAATTGTTGGAAATCAAAATTTCAGGTTGGGATCAGATGATTTTTTTTTCATTATAACTTGATAAATATTAATTTTATCAAAGAAGTGCAATAGAACTTTTTAATTCAAAATAGATGTAAGTTTCGGAGAAAAAATCCAGACTCGAAAGACTTGAATTTACAATGAATTAATCAATAAACAAATTAAGAAGTTAACAAACGAAAGAAATTATTACGACCCGTATATTGATATTCTACATTAGCCCCGGGGCTATCTACACGGTCAAGCTTTATATGTTTTTAAAATATAAATTATATGGAAAGCAGGACGCAACTTCCCTTTCAACTTCCCGAACCTCTTATACGAGGGAAACAATTAAATAATCATCAATAATTATGTAATTTATACCTTAAGAACATCTAAGGTTTGACCGTGTAGATAGCCCGGGGATAATGTAGATGAAATTACTAACAAAACATGAGGATATAGTGCAAAGAAATCGAAAAATCATTCTTACTAGTCCTTCCAATAATAAATAGAGTGGATAAACGAAAGGTGATAAAAAAATTTGTCCTTTCCGTCCGCCGTGGCGAACAATATTATAGACCACTCGGACATAAATTTTGATGCCGATGTGAAGTTCACAGGGCGAGCCGAAGGCGGAGTCTGTACTCACATTCGTTGAAACGGAAATTTGGGCTCTTGTACTCTAATGTACTATTTTTTGCTTGAATTACGTCAAATGATCATTTTTCGGCTGTTTTATTTTGCTCCACTGTTTCATTTTGCCCCGCTGTTTTATTTTGCCCCACTCTTCCCTATATGTTATGGAGTAGGTATCGAAGAATTGCCGATACAATTGACGTTCTCTAATCTCCAGTAGTTCTCGAGATATTAAGTTTTTTATGAAGCTGCGGCAGTCGCCGGTTTTCCTCGATACACGCTAAGTTAGGGAAACGCGCTGAGTGAATCATACCCAATGGAGTCTCAGCGTGGTACTTTCTTAGAACTTCAATCAACAACGAATGTCGGGAGATTACACAACAAGTACTCCTGATTTGACAATACTTATTTACAATGAAATGATTCCCGGAAATGTACAATTCACTGGTGCACAAGGCCAGCCACAAAAGAAATTATACGTTTTATGACTCACATACTGGTGGCTTCATACAGTTTAGGTTTCAATTAGTGCAATGTACGTGCCGAGTNAGGGGGGGGGGGAGTACTAGTACCTATAGTCATTCAGTGTAAAACTTTTTCTCTTGATCAATTTCAGATCCATAACGTCGTGTAGTATCGAATCAATAGTGAAATAGCCATGTCGGATGCATGTAACATTATACATTTGAAAATGTTCCCCCAGAGTTAGTTAATAAATTTGTCTTATTTTTTGTAGATAATGTGTTATCATTTGAATTTGACTCAATTGAATTCAATCGTAGGCAATCAATTACAATATATTTATTCCCCAGACACCGAGAACCTACACCAGGCATCGAAGATAGTACCAAGTCCACTCACTGCAGCACGTTGACAGGTCCGCTCTAGCCAGCCTAGGCTCATAAAGAAACTCAGTATCTTGGGAACTAGAAATTTTCGAAATTTTTGGAAAATTCAGCAATAGTGCCACTTGAATTCGCAATTTTGCGAATTTGAATCTAATTTAAATTGCAAATTCAGGATAATTGGATTTTCCATGTTATATTATCACTGATATTTCAATGACATCTGGAATTTTAAAATTCATTGCGGAAATTGAACATAACATCCAACTAAATTTTCAGTGGATTGAAAATTCAGGGAAATTGTTGTTTGAATTTTCAAATTATTTAATCATTTTCATTATCATGTGGACCTGAGTGTTGCAATTCCATTGAATACTCGACTGATTTTTCAATAACAAAATACATGAAAATTTTGTGCGATTGAGTGATTGTTAAAAATTTCAAGATTTTTTACTTGAAATTTCAGGAGTAATATTTTAACACTGTACTAAAGATTAGAGAAGGCCAATTGTACTGGCAATTCTTCGATACCTACTCTATCACATTTTTGTAGAATTTTTCGCACCATGTCCTCATGATTTGTTGTCAACTTTTAATTTGTTTATTCATTAATTATTTGTAAATTCAACTTTTTCTAGTCTCGATTTTTTCCCGAAACTTACACATGTTTTGAATAAAAAAGTTCTTTTGCACTTCTTTGATAAAATCGATATTTATCGAGTTATAATTTAAAAAGAAATCACTTACCTGGTCCAACCTGAAAAATTTAATTCCGCATAACTTTAAAAAAAAATTCCTTTTCTTAATGACATTTCAGGGCATGCTTGGAACACTTCTACATCATATTCAATTTTCGTCGAAATCGAAAAAAACTGATTGAAATATTATGGAACGCCCCGCCTATAAGAAGAGGCGTCTCCCTAACATTAAGAAATTAAGAAAATTGGTATTGCAGAAGGATCGATTGAAAGACTGTGACTTTCTTCATTGATCATTTTAATTATATTCTCCATTTCATACAAATTAAGTTGGAGACATATTTATAATACAAACTTAAAATATATACATCAATATATTGTGAAATTTTTTTCAGCGTATATCCGGTTGATTCCGTAATTTATCGGTCTATTTATATTTTTCGGCTTTTACTCAGCGTTATCCGTCTTCATAGTGCATTGTGCAATGCGCTTGGCAAGTTTTAACATGTATTCTTACTGTTTTTTTATTTCTCTTAAACTTCTCCATTTGGGCAGACTCTGTCCAAATCCATTTCGTCGTTTCGACTCTTAAAAAATCTGAAGATTTGAATTTTCCAAATATCAATTTCGTTTATAACTGCATCAATTCGTCATGCTACCTCCTGGCATGAAAAAATTCTAATTTTCTGCCCAAAATCGTGTACGTAGGGAATGATGAACAATTGGTAACGAATTGTTTCGTACTCTTATCAAATTATATCGCATTTGTGATGTTATTATGTTTCATTGCATCCCTCACAAGAGCTTAAACGAAAGAAAACTAGGCTTCTCCTCTCAATTTCTCTTGAATGAACATCGAGAACAAATGAAAATTCATTGAAGAATAAATAAATGATAACTTCATAAAACATAATCCACTCAAGTGTTAAAACTTGAGCTATATGCTCGAAATTGTTTGTGGAAAATTTGGTGACATTCCCAGCCCACTGGGAAATGGGCTTCTGACATTGATCTCTAAAACTTGTTAGTTTCAGAAACAATATTGTCAAGATAGATTACAGACTTAGTTTGGACTATCAATGAATTACCAGTTTCCTTAACATGATAACTCACCACCTAATAACTTTTACTCACAACAAAAATCAAAGAATTAAATTGAATCAAGAAATAATTTTTAATATTCTATAAATCCATTGAAATCCCTTCTTCGAATTCTCGCTATTATTGAATGATTTCCCATCGAATTGCGAATAAAATCAATTCTTTGTTAACAAATTAGAGAGGAACAATTTCTTTGTCCGTTTAAACTCTTTTCAACACATTTTTCACATCCTCCACTTCCCACATGATTAGACAAATCGAACAGAATCTCAAATGATGGTAAAATTCATCATTATTACAGTATTTTCTGACGAATGTGAATTTATAATTCCAGCTGAAGGCGAGGATTACCACCACATTCGTCAGAAAATACTTTGTGGGCCGTGTGATGTTAACTATTTATATTACGGGCCCGAAAATCGCGATCTAGTCGAGTGAAGCGAAGTTAGAATCGTGATTTATCCGGCCTAGTAACATAAATATATTAATCCAAGGAGGTATGAACCTTTGTCCATCCACTTCATACTTTTCCCTCTTGGTTCGAACAAACTTTCAATTAATAAGAATGCACAAACAAATTCGGATAGAAACAGAAGAAGCATTTGAGAGGGACTTTAAACATTCTTTAGAAATATAATCGGGATCGAATTGAATGTTTTTCTGATATAATGTTCATATGAAGCCATCAATTGCTACGAATTCATTATTAATGATTTATTAATTGGCACTGCCCTCGAACTCTCATTATTTCCTACATATTTTCCATAATTGTGCACCAATCTGCACAAAAAATGTTTGAAGGCTTTCATTAATAATATTATTTACAATGGGCCTTAAACGATTTATAAAGCTTGGCGTAAGTGGTGAGAAATATTACATTTATTCCACTAAATAGTTCGTTCATTTTACGTGATCATCTGTTGTTCTTGTTTCTCATTGTTATTGATTCTCTAGTAAAGTAGTAAAATGGCAAATTTTATTCTTCTGTTGGTTGTGCACTCACTTGGGATAATTTATGCTGAGAAAAATTTTTAGCTGTTATTTTAGCTTTTAGCCTTGAAGAATTTTCAACTAATGAATTTAATTGACTTTTTGTTCCTAGTACCAGAATGATTTTAATTCTACCAATATCGAATATGAATAATCAACGTATTCCGTCTATTAAGTTTTACCACTTTAATTAAGAAGAAATGACAATTGTTCCCATCAATCATTTGTGATTGGTAATTATCACAGCTTTATTATGATGTGACAGAAAGAAACATTTTTACTTTCAATTAATACACTGAAATAATTCTTTAAATTGTAGCAATCGAGACAGCCCATTCAGCGGAATTTTTCGCAATGAAATCCGAATGCATAGAAATACAATTATCGATAATTACAGCAATTCTTCGATTACATTATCCAAGAATATTTGAAGTCCCCATTCATCTTCATTTCATTTAAAAAAATATATATCAGCTACATCCGTTTTTTTAATTTAATTTTTCTTTTTATTAAATTTTTTTGTTCATTTCATTGTTTGCTTTAGGTAATGAATATTAATATAGATAATAATTACAAATATAACTATATATAATGGATATACGAGCCTTTGTCAGGGGAGCAATGCAGTCGTCGTCATTAAAAGATTATTTCAGTTTTTTTTTCTTTCTGGAGAAAGGGAGGAGGGTGTTTTTGTTGTTTATCTACACATTGTAATTATTTTCATCTTTCATCAACGTTTTCCATTATATCGCATTAACAATTAAATCAAATAATAACACACAACAAAATAATAATTAATGAATAATCAATGGGGACCAGTAACTTGGCCTTCACGCTGATACTAGGCCAATGGCTTTTTTTTCTAATCAGATTATTAGTTATCCATGAAAGTACCTTTGTATTGTTTCTGAAATCATTTTCCTTTAGAATTACAACTAGAGTTAATCTTGCTTGATGTTTTCTCATTTTTCTTCGTTATGAATTATGAAACAGTGACACATACGGTATATTTTTTTGAGAGGGGAGCATGGGAAATGAATTTATTGAAATGAGTTTTTCAGAAATTATAAGTGATTAATCGATGAATGGGAAAATTGAAGATAATCACAACTCGAAGTCAGTATTCAAAGAATAATGTTTGACATTCGTTCAATGATTCAAGGAGTTGGCAGAGTTGATAGTCATTTTGGAAACATTTTTGTGAGAAAGGGGTTTTGGGGAAAATGTCTTGAGACATTTTTGTAATCCCATGGTTTACAAAAGGAGGTCTGGTGCTATTCTGTCCCGAACCGACTACATAGCAAGATTCTCGTTACCTAATTACACAATGAATGGAGTTTGATAGGGGAATATATATGAGAATTTTTTCAATTAAGTAATCATTTAGTGCCTGATCTTTCAAATGAATGTGAGCCTCGAAAATTCATTTTTGAATAAGAAAGAAAGTCCTTTGAAACTGCTATAGCAATCTCATAACATTTGAGAAGAGAAATCAATTCTGGTACTTTAATTATAATATCATCACAGTCAAAAAGAATTATTTAATACAGTTAACGAATATGATTCTTCTCTTTCTTCTGCTAGTTTATTATCAGTATTGAAACTTCAGTGATGTGTATATTTGAGTCAAAATTAAACAACACTGAAATTTGAAAATATCTAGAATTTTCTATTCGATATGATATTTTCGATAATAATTGATTTTTTTCTTCTTTCACTGATATTTGCGTTATATTCAAGTTTGGCGAAAAGGAAAATGCAAAAGGGACTCAATATATCAATTGCCCATCAACTAGAAAATTACATTTCAGTCTAAAATCATTTTTAAGAATTTTAAAACCTGAAAAATGATTCTATTCAAGTTTATATATTTTTTTAAATATTAACTTTAGTACACTGACTCCCTCAGATGCAGAATATTTACATCATCATGAATGAGGCTGCCTATGTACATTTGTATTGTCAGCAAAAGTGCTGAAGTAGATTACACGTGGAAACTAGACATTTTGTTGAGTTGTTATTCTCATTTTTAAAAAGTGTAAAACTGGACAGGATGTTTGATTATCGAAGGACGAAACTTTTATCATGCCTTATACCAATAATTAATGTACTTGGTGAAAATTGATCAAGATTTTTTCTCATCCAATCACAGAAGAAAAATTAAATTTTCATTCATACTTTTAATGTTAACGGTTCTTTCACGCTTCAACTTATTATATTATTATTTTTTTCTTCGACTCGAATGTTCATAAGAGTCTCATATTTTTCTTTATAGTAAACAAGGTTATTCGTCTTTTTACATATTTATTTATGGTAACGTTCAACTCCAGAATCAGAACATAGAAATTTTTTCTACTTTGCCTCCTCCAATTGAGTAAATATTTTCTATTTCATGCTATTCATTCTCGTTTTTCTTTCATCGGGTGAACCTGAGGCACTTTGTGCACGACTCACTCTTCATTGCCAATTATTGTTACCCAGATTCTCTTATTTTTATCAATATGTGTTTTCTCAACTTATTTGATTGATTCCTTGCCATCTGACTTTAATCAATTAGATATAATTGTTACCCAATATAATATGTATAATATGGTTGTATCGTTAGTCTTGCTTTCATTATAATTGGCACTTGAAAGTTCCATCAACTATTATTTTCTACAAAAAAATTCACGATTTTCAATGTGAATTTTCAAAAAATGATGATAAATTTATCAAATCAGCGTGTTTCTAATTCTTTCAAAAATTGAAGGAATAATGCTTTAGCCATTTTTGCTGAATCAAAGAGCGTCGCAAAATGTGAAAGGAGATGAGTTCACAAAATTTCGAATGGAATTTTCAACAAATAGAAATCTTCCGGCATTCTCTCCTCACATCACTCATTAGTCAAATAATTTCATAATTGACAATGGATAAGAATTAAAATTCATCTACTAATGATTACGCGCATATTTCAGAAATTATTCAGCTCATGCAAAAACGTTTGGAAGCCGCGCTTGAAGATTGTGCAATCCCGTTTAACATTTGCCTCTGAACTTTTTTCTACCAAAGATATCTGAAAAATGTTACACGACTCGATTTTGGACCATCTCCGGCCTATTCAATACTAATGTGTAATGACTATTGCTTAGGTCAAATTTTTCAAGACAGATCTTTTGGCGAATTATAACAATAGTAACATCTTAAAAATTCGACATCGGCGCTTTATACAATGAAAAATATTGCGTAGATTCGAAAAAAAGAATGAAAAAAATATTTCGTCTCTTATGTGTAAATTCGACTTTGCTCTCGTTTCAACAGAAAGCAAGTGGCAGTTCATTCCCTAGAAATCATTACTCTCATTTGTCAATTATTTTTCATGTTATCCGTTGCTCTATGTGATTTTTTTTTTGATGACCTTCGATTTTCTGAGAGTAGAAATCAAGACCTGGGAATGGGGACCGCTGTCCACCAGATCGCCTAAAATGGAGGAACTGTTCAAAAATAAAAGGAGAAAATTATGGAAAATATGAAAAAAAATGCAGATTTAAATTCTATGAGACGCAATAGAGATCCCTCCTTGCCCAAGGACTTGAATTTTTATTAAAGAGAAATCGCTCACATAAATGGAAAGAATTCAAGAGATGACCTAGTGAAATCGCTAGAAACTTTTTGCAAAATTAAATAGGAAATTTTATTCGTACTTTGCAGATTTATCTGGAGAATTCAGAAGATTTGCTGAGCGGTTTTTTTATACAAATAAATAGGAAATATGTGATAGAAGAAAATCAATCGACTTTGATTTTTCTATTAAATCTAGTTGACCTTTTTTTTTAAAAGAAAACTCGTGATTTATTCTACTAAATATTTAAATAAAACTTGGACGAAAAAGCTACTGAATTTCTAACAGACGTTGGCAAAAATTAAATAGATTTCCCAGTAGATTTCCAGTAGAAATCTAGTGAAATTTCAACAAAATTTTTTAGCGACTCCGCAGGAATTCTCTCCTGAATGTTTTCAAAATTTTCTTTCTTTATGAGTTTCAACCTCACTTGACGTTGTTTTTTTTTTTCATTAAAATTTATATATTTGAATTTTACCAATTTTCTCACGCGCGTCAGGCTCAATTCTCTATCAACGATGACCCAATTTTGTTACTGACTAAAAAAATTGTCTCATCGCAATCAATCAACATTAATACGACAATTTTTTATTCAGCCATTGGAAAGATTTGATCCAGCTTACTAGGGATGCACTAGGTCCATCCCTATAATTCTCTTATTAATATTTTCTAATGTAATTCTCTTGAATAATTTTTGGTTTTCTTAAGGAAAATTGGATTGCGAAAAATTTTCATTGCATTCTATCCACTATTTTCTTTTATTTTTTAGGATTGCCTCCCATTTTGAAAGATTCCTCAATTTTCGATCATTCGGAGAATAGTCAGACCCAAAAGTTTGTATTTCTATGTTTAAGAGGATGAGAGAATACCGTCGGGTGCCAAATTTAAAACTGCACACTTTGAAAGACTAGTGTATTTCATACAGAAAAATGAATATAAATTTCGTTTAAGAAATCGTCTTGTACACTGATAGAACGGTTTAGTCGAACCAAATCAAACTTTTTAACTAAACGATCGCGGGCTTGAGCGCGCGTGTTAAAGACAAATCGCGACACGAAAACCGAAAGCCGACCGAAGTCGATCACGTGCGGGCGGATCCAAATGTTCGACCAATGAAATTCGAGGAATGAGCGTTACGCTACAGTTTTAGAGTAGGAAAAAAAGATCATAACTGATTGGACAAGAATTTCCAAATATTGGAACAAAATGTTTTTTGAATAAATTATTTTCTATTAACAGAATACAAATAAGAGAAAAAGCTCATCGCTTCTAATATCCCGTTTTACCCCGGTTCCACTCATTTTTGTTCTTTCAATAGAAAATAATTTATTGAAGAAATATTTCTTTTCTCTAGAATGATTTTGTTTCAATGTTTTGGCAATTTTTCCCAATGAATTATCATTTTTCAAAATGCGTTGCCTTAAATGTTGAATCCGTTATATACATTTATGTATTCTCGATGAATCGTTTAATGTTCTCTCTAACTTTTTCCTCAACCCTCTATTTTTTACATTTTTTTGGTCGAATTTTCCGCAAAAAGAGACGAAAAATAGTATGTGCACCTCGGGAGGCCAGGAGGCTATCCACACGTGGTCCAGTGTGGCCTACTTTCCTCCCCCGGCGCACTATGTACTATTTTGTGGTATATATTAACATCACTAGCATCAAGCCATCTGAAACATCAATTTTACCATGTGAAAAACAAAGAAGAGACATCCATTGTGCCACAACACATCGTAACAGGCTAACAATTTCATCAACATATCAACATTTTATTCTTTTCTCCTCTAAGGAGAAATGAATTCATTAACTACTACATTCGTTCAATTTTCCACGAAGATTTTCGTTTTGAAGTTCAAAAGAGGAGGTCACTTCTATTAATATCATTTCTACCTTTCACATCTTGCTTTTGAAAATAATTGGAAATTTGTTCAATAACAATTTCTAACAAAGAATTTACATTTACTTTCCCTTTTCTTTGCACAACCCAATTGAGTTTGCACTTCAATACCTAATAATACAATCGATGAGCAACACAAGTCAAAAACAATTTAAAAATGTGCGTAGTTCAATGAAGTAGTAAAGTGGCAAAATGTCATTATTTACAATTCAATATTTCTGTGATTTTTTTGTGATCTCTTAGCGTGATGTTTTCCTTCCAAAGATATTTTTTCTTGTGAATCTATCCGTTCACCAAAAATGTCTTTTGCTATTTCCTTCGAAAATCATTCAAATGATTTGAAACATAGAGAAAAATCAATAGATACTCTTTACCACTTCATTATTCAATCAATTAAAATTTTCGAATCAAACTCAAGAACTACAATCTTCAATGCAACTAATATCATCAAAGAAACTAATTGCCAGTAACCAAAAGCACAACAATGATAATGGTAGAAATAATTGATATTGAAATAATTAATAATTGAAGTTAATCGTAAAAATTTGATGATTCATCCGAAGATTGGAAGATGTTTTCATAGTTACAAATTACTTATTGCAAATTTGGCATTAGAAACGGATTGATTGGAGTGAACAAAAGCTGCAGCAATAACGAAATATCAACCAACCACTCAAAGGGACAAAGAAACAAGGATTACACATAAATTGGAACAATCATTCGATCGATATTTTCATTAGAACAAAACGATGATTGGTAAGCAATATCGAGAGGAAATATCAACTAACAAGTAAATAACTGAACAATCATCATTCAATCCTGTACAACAATTACAATTGTCCAATCAATCCCCCCCCCCCCACAATTATTCGTAATAAAATAAAATAAACTGATTCCAAACTGATTGAATACTTCATACATCAATCCTACAATTATTTTTATACGTTAATATTCCTCTCCTCCTATATAAAGTTATTATTACTGTCAATTAGACATTGGCTGCTGTTATCACCTCCATTAATGATCGTTTAAACCTTTAATTATCTTAAAATTCAATTTAATGTACAAGATTTCTATTGGCACAGTCGCGTCACCATGCAATATCGACATATGACCCATTTATCTATTTTTTTTCTTTTATGATTTTGGTTTTTATATCCATTTCTCCTTTTTTTTTCGTGTTGAAAAGATATGAATAAAATGATAGAAAAAATCATTCAGACGCAGAGTCGGTAGAACCATTATTCCTAGATTGTGTTCTCCGATGATTCCTTTTGATATGGAGTATTTTCAAATAACATAACGATGAGTACATTGGATAAATGTGGATAATCCTCTTCAGTTTCACACGAGATCTTCACGATACGTAACTCACATTAAAGCTTTCTCACTTTAATTCGTTTAATCAAATGGGAACCATTGTGGTTTTCTATGCACTTTGCCGGACATATCAGCGCCTTGCAGCACTTTTTTTTCTCAACTTTTTCTTCAATGGACGATACACTCGGACGCTCAATGATTGACAAATATAGATAGCTTAGTACTTTTTCGTGGGCACATCATAAACCGGATGGAATTTACAACAATTTTCACCGCCTCGATTAATGCCGATTGTCACCGGTTTTCACTTTGTATGTTTCTCCAGTAGACTTAGAGACTGAAGAAACATCGAAACCTTTCCTTTCATTATTAATTATTCATGCGTGTTTCCTTAGCAATTTAATGGCATCTCGAATGACGCTATAAGAATAATCATTTTAATCCATAAAAATTTGTTCTTTCTCTTTACTTTTAAATATTTCATTCGTCTATAACACTGGATTTTCATCTCAAATTAAAATGCAAGTATCTCCATGACGTACCGATTATTCCAAGTATCAGATTTCTTATACTGTTTTATTAGTAATTGGAGTTTATGTCAGTATCTCAATCTATCATCATTTCTAATGTGATCATCATAGGGGCAATTTCCAGTATCCTCGCTATTCATATATCGTATATCCCAGTCTTCAACCATATCTTTTATTTGTGTTAATTTGGCATGTAACTCATTGTATTTTTTTCTTCGTATCGCGTGGTCACTTCTGACGTGATAATATTGAGCATGGATTTGTTGAGAAATTGCCTGTGAATGAATAAAAATTATGAAAAATAATAAAATAGTGAATGAATAATATGATGCTCTATATTGTTCAATTTGCGGTGAAGAACAGGAGATAAGGTCAAATATTTTAAGGAGGGAAATCGTTAGAGATCCCCTTTAATACTCATTAAAAAGATAATGTAATAATTAACAACAGATGAGTGCAAATTTCACGAGAAAATAATTTTTCAGAAGTAATGCGATTGGAAGGATTCAAGAATTTTCATCTGTTGATTTTCTTTGCAATGAATTTTATAATGTAGAAAAAAAATAGAGAACTTTTGAAAAATAGTCGGACGATAAGGCGCATAGCAACTTTAAACCTATCTCCTTTTATCACTCCATGCAATAAAGTGTACTAATAATTCCCTTACCTTGGCTTTTTCTTTATTCCCCTTTTCTAACTCTTTCTCTTTAAGTGCATTCAGACGATGGATTAATGTAACTTCCTTCGCAATTTGATCGTACATCTCCATGTAATAAGGATGTTCTCTGCTCCATATCGCTTTATAACGTATTTTTTCTTCAGGTGTGCTGATGGGAGGATAGATCCTACGAAGTAATAGGAAAATTATTAAATTGTGTAATTGTTACAGATTTTTTTTTATTGCTTCCAATTTTATCTCTAAAAAAGATGTTCATATAAGTTTCCCTCTTTTCAAGAGACGCAAAGATTATCTCATTCCCCATAAACATAACTTAAATTTTGAAGATTAAAATCTCAAATAAATACTAAACGGAAGTTAATATGAATGGAAATCTAGTATTATTGATAATAATTAATTTAGAAGTGCCAAAATAAGACAGAATCTTATCAGGAAATTAACTTTTCAAAGATAGGGAGAAGATTAAAATCTGAACAAAACGTCTAAGAATCAGAAAAAATAAATAAAAATTCTATGCCCAATATGAAAATTATTGTGAGTATTAAATTTTTGTAATGAATAAGTCATGTTTTTTGGTGCTTCGAAATAGGGTATTATGTGAAAGTGGCAGCGCTGCGTTGATTGGACGCTGGTCATGCCATGAAGGAAGAAATAGTCCAACAAGGGACTACTGTTCAAACAAATAATTGACGGAATATTTCATGGATTAATTTTTAACATTCATCAAAGCTTGAATTTATATATAAAACAATCAATGATGAATAATAATTTTTTTTGGAATTTCAAATTAATTTTTCCTCGTTACACTCACCAACTCAACTAGATTTTATTCATATTACTTTAATATAAATGCACTCACGCTGCCCAATCAGTTGGTGGCTCTTCCGTTTCACCAGATGTTACAGTTGGTGATGACAAACTGGGTGTGGTATTGTTAACAGTTAAACTGGGAGTACCAGCACTAGTGAATTCGTTGTAGGATTTCGTACCAGATGCACTATTATCTCTTTCACATTGTTCACGTTTATCATGTTGTTCACGTTCTTTACGCTGCTCCCTATCTTTATCATTACGACCACGATCATCCTTTCTACCACCATTACCAACTGGACTAGCTCTATAACTACCACTTGTTGCTGGTTTAAAATCACTGTTATCACTGACAGACATTTTGTAATTACTTTGCAATTGATTTCTACTTGTAGCAGCACTTGATGTTGATATTTCCTGATTGTAACGTGCACTGACGACTTCTTCAACATCACTCGTTGGTGTTGTTGATGACTTATTTCTCGCGTAGTTGGTATTTGTTTGATTATTCGTTATCCCACTATTTGTTTCACTATTCGTTGATCTCTCAGGACGATTATCGGTACGTTCACGTTGTTGGTGTCTTGGGACATCCCAATCATTCTCATTTTTCATCACATTATCAGAACTAATATTTGGTGTCCTTATGTTTTCTCTATTGGCACTTGAGCCACCTGTCACGCTGCTTGGCTCCGGTTTACGGTAGTGAGATATTCGGAGACGTTTGGTTGTTATTCCATCGCTACCTTGGTGGTAACCTGGGCGCTTTAGGTTGGGGGGTGGGGCGATTATTGCGGGGGGTGAGCCTGGATGAGTTGAATTCGGCGATGTTCCACTTCCTGAATGGTAAAAATGAGGAAAAGTTTAGACAATTGGATCATTGTGCATGGCAGAAAACTATCAGGAGAGATTTTTGTAGGAATGAAAATTTGCGACAAAAAATATATCAACTTTTTTTGGGACCCTCATTAAGAAGCTCGACCATCAATTCAATATTTAACTGATAATTCAAAATGTGAGGCATATTATTAAGCAAATGATCTTCATTCCCAACTTCTAACGACATATTTCGTTGAAAATTCTTTGATCATAACAAAAAATTAATCCAGGAATCAGGGATTTTGGAGAAATAAAACATTATGATCGAATTGTCAAGGATTTGACGTTTCGCTAAATATGTTTTAGCTTCGTCAGGCTCTTGACTCAATCAAAGTTTAGTCACGCTACATTGATTGAGTCAATAGCCTGATGAAACTAAAATATATTTAGTGTTTATTTATCAAAAATCCCCGATTTCTCGATTAATTTACATCACTTGGAGATGAATGCGCTTATTGATAACAAAAAAATTTCAATAAATTTATCAAAATCTAGCTTCGTTCATTGATTTGTCCATCATTCATTATTAAACTTGCTTAATGATTCATTATCTCTCTTTTATAGTTTTGGAATTTTCTATGGAAATAGGCTTTTGAAATTCTGACTTGAAACTTTTTTCGTTGAGATAGAGGCTTTTCTCACCACTTGAACAATCGCTAGACCCTGGTGGAGTCAAATTTTGGGGTTTTCTTCTTTTCAATGTCGCTCTATCTTGCTCAGTATAAAATGGCCAGTCTTCCTGCACGTCGTTCCACACGTGCCTTTGCAGAACATAAGCATTATCCTTCATGCTAGTTATTTGCTTTAGGATATTCGTTATTGCGCTTCTTTCACGATCCTTCAATCCCTCTGCAATAGAAAAAAATATAGTTACAGGACCAAACCTTTTAATCAATGGTGAATGATTATAGTACATTAGAGTACAAGGGCACAAATTTCCCTTCTTCAAATTTCTCGCCTTCGGCTCGGCCTGTAAACTACACATTCGTTGAAAACGAAATTTATTACCGAGTGCTCTATAATATTTTATGTCAAGTCGTGCAGAAGCCGAGTTTTGAGCAGGCTGCGCGAAGCGCAGCGTGCGATAAACTCGACTTATTGCACGGCGCGACATAAATGAAATATTTATATTTTTCATGATGAAAAAATTCGATAGAAACGCTTTCGCTAGGGAATTCAATAAGAATTCTAATGGAATTGTCTCATGATTGTGTGGAAATCATTGAGCATAAATATTCCAAATTTTTACCGCTGCTTTTTGTTTTATTTCTCATTACAATATGCAGTATTATATCTTTTTTAATCGAGTATTACCGAAGAAATGAACAATTTGATGGAAAAAATGGCCAAAGGACCTTTGTTGAGGCAAAGATACATTGAAACAAAGGAACTTTTAATATTTTTTCAATAAATTATCGTCAAAGACCTCGTTTTTGAACAACTAAGACCAGCTGTTAAATAAATATATAAAATTATAAAGCTTCAATTTCTATTGAGAACAGAATTGTTTTTCGGATTTTGTTTGCTGTCTCTGGATGATTCCAACAATTTTATCCCTAATAATTAATGATACCATTGAATTAAGCCACAGAAATCCCAGAAATGTCCGGTTACTGGATCCCCTCCAGTAACTAGGTCCTTGAGGGTACTGATTACCAAAATATTAAGAAATTAATAGAACACACTAATACATACGCAGATTATATCGCACGTATTCAGAGCAGTGGAATAGAACTGCTCTGTAGACGAAAAAATTTCTACGATGAAAATCTCCAAAAATATTTGCAAAATAATCTGCAATTCGCTTTGCAATTTCCAAATTATTTCCTTTAAGGGGAGACTACTATGAGTTTTAAAATTCGCGGGCTACTGGAATGAGATTTCTCATACCTTGAAGATCGATTATATGTGTCTAAAAACGAATAATTAGTGCAAAAAAATTGTTTATTGATCGTTTACTTCGGAGAACCTTAAGGTGTTAAAAATAGTCCAGGGTTTCCAATTTTGAGTTATAGAGATTGTTTTTGGTCAAAATTTTTGAAAAAATACGTGCAATAACAATTACGAATTAGTTTCTGGAAATTCACCTCCTACATAGCTAATTTCGTTTTTTTTTTATAAAAAATTTCACCACTCATGGAAAATGGTTCGAAAAATATTTCTGAAGGAATCGAAAATATATTTTAAATAGTTTGAGGATATTTTTTCTGCCTATTTTACATGAATGTCACAAATTTTTATATTAAGGGAAAACGGAACCCCTGCGTTTATATGAACTTTTAGAATCATGTTTTCTTCTACAATTATTAATTTTTATCTATGAAACTACTTTATCGATTCGATCATTGCATTATTGAGTCAATGAAGTAGTTTCATAAATAAAAAATAATAATTGCAGGAGAAAACACAATTCTAAAAGTTCATATAGAAATAGAGCTTCCATTTTACCTTAAACAAAACGAAATTAGCTGTGTACGAGTCGAATTAAAAAAAAATAATTCGTAGTTGTTATTGTACACATTTTTTTGTGTACATAAAAAAAATACCTCTGTAGCTCAGAAATTGGAGGCCCTGGGCTATTTTTAATATTTTAAGCGCTTGCGGGACAAACGAACAATGAACAATTGATTTTTTTGCACTATCGATTTTCAATGCATGAGAAATCTTACTACAATAGCCCGTGATTTTTAAAATTCATAGTAGTCTCCCCTTAACCATTCCATTACTAAAACTATTCCAATTGTTGATTCGTTATCGATTCGATCATTGCATTATTGAGTCAATGAAGTAGTTTCATAAATAAAAAATAATAATTGCAGGAGAAAACACAATTCTAAAAGTTCATATAGAAATAGAGCTTCCATTTTACCTTAAACAAAACGAAATTAGCTGTGTACGAGTCGAATTAAAAAAAAATAATTCGTGATTTTTAAAATTCATAGTAGTCTCCCCTTAACCATTCCATTACTAAAACTATTCCAATTGTTGATTCGTTATTGTTTATGTACCTCGATTAAGGCGATCATAAAGCTCCGGCTTTTTGTAAGGCCTCAATGCCAGCACATGGATGAGTCGTTCCCTCAATGGCCTTCTACAAAGTTCACTATTTTTCTTTTCAGGTTGATGACGCGTTAGAGGATTGTTATTAGATATTGACTTGTAAGAGGGCGAAGAACTGGAATTGGTAGTTGCTTGCGATGATGAATGGAACATTGCATGAGATCGGGGCATTGCGGATGAGGGTATGAGCCTAGACGATTGACTCATGGAACTTGGAATGCTCGTTGTTTCGCGATGCCTCGAAGTTGCTGGTGGTGGTGGTATCGTTCGACCCGTACTTTTCACTTTAACTTTTCGCCCTATATCTGGACCACTTGCCTTTATCACCCTGGTGCTGTGAACATATTGAGACGATTTCCAATATGAAGAACCGAAAATCAACAAAACTAATATGAATATTTTCTGTTAAAACAATTGTAATTTATGCTATTTTATTTTCTTCCCATTTCCGTTGTCACAATTAGATTAATTCAATTTTATCCATTCTTATTCTTATTGGATATATATATTTCCTTAATTCACAAGTTAGAACATTGAATGAAGAGGAATTATGTCAAAGATCAATAAAAAAAATTTCTTTTGCGATCAAAACAAACACACAAAATCAAAGTTATTTAAAATCTCATTCGGGTAATAGAAACATTTCTCCATGTATTGCTAAAAATTTTAAAAATTTATTTTTCCTTTTATATAGTAAAAGGATATCGGTACTTCTCATTCCTATGGTCGGATTCTAATTATTATTATGAACAAGAAATGAAAAAAGAATCAGAAGGGATAATCGGCTAGAAAATGGTTTTTGTCTTCTTTTATGTCGGTGGGAACTTCGAATCAGTTTTTTTCGTCAATTACTAGAGGGATATCAATATTTCAGCAAAAGGAATCCAAAAATGTAAAAAAGTGGGCGGGAAGAACTGAAAAAATTACTTTTTCAATGGCTCCGGAAAGCCATAAAAAAAAAATTATTTTTTTCGAATAATGAAAGAATACCCACAAATTCGATTCCTTTCCTTGTCTTTTGAAAGAATGAATAGAATTACATAAATGCCAATGAATCGCAAAAATCACGAAATGGAGACTGAAAATTTTTAAATAGGGATGATTGGCTAGAAAATGGAGAAAATTTGTTTTTCTTCATTTCTGGCCGTGGAAACTTGGAATCACTTTTTTTCTCGAATATGAGCGAGATGTGAATATTTTGAAATTCTATGGTCCAATTTTATCGAGAAGAAATGAAAAAAAATCAAAAAAACGTAGACGGGAAGAAATAGAAAACTTAATTTTTCAATGCCTCTAGAAAATTTTAAAATCGATATATTTTTTGGAATAAAGGAAGAATACCCATGAATTTGATTTGTATCCTTGTCTTTTGATAGAATGAATGGAATAAATGACAGAAGTTGAGAATTGGAAACTACAAATTTTATCGGATTATTATTATGTAATGTAATGTAATAATGTTTCCAAAACTAGTAGTTTCAGGAAAAATATCAGTGAATGTCAAATTATATTTTTCATACTTCATGAAGTTGCTACAAAAATGGAAACTACTCCACAACTTTGCCTAAACTTCTAAATATTTCAAAATTAGCTGCTGAATTATTTTATAGAATTTCTTCTTACGAAAAAGAGTTGATCAGAAATTAATACTAACCATTTAGTCTTGTTATTCTGATCGACCGCCGCCATACGATGTCTAGTCGCCTCATACACATCGTCATTTGCCTGTATTCGCATTTTGCATGGCAATGCTCCGAGATTCTGCAGGGATCTGTGCCCAGCCTGCTGTATGCACTCGAAACTACCCTGGGGACCCTCCATGTCTTGATTCCCAGAGAGGGTGAACGTGAAACCCGCAGACCCATGGCTTGATTGAGAAGATGGGAATGATAATTGCTAAAACACAAAAGAAAATGAAAATTAGTGAATTGTCTTACACATTTTCCTCACAATTTCTTCTCATTACTTTCTGTTTTCATTGAATTTGTCGTTTTTCAATATGACGAAATCCAATAGAAATTCACCAATGATTTAATTATCCTTAAATTTCATGTGATGAGTTTTTTAAACAAATTTGTAGATAAAAATATTATAACAAAATTTCCTTTCCTATAAGGATGGCCCAAATGCGGTCAGGCTCAAAATAAGGCCCAAAAGTGATCAGGACCAAATTAGGCAAAAAGGGCCAAAGGATCATTGCACCCAAAAAAAGTACTGATTCAAGTTAACGTCGTCTTGATTCTAATCGACTGCCGGCTTGATTCAAGCCGTGTGACCCGGACTACGCCGATCCGGATTCTGGGGCTGATATAAGTGGAAAAGTGGTATATTTCAAGCAGAAACGTGTCAAGCCGACATCGGTTTGAATCAAACTGAAAAATCGGCTTCAATCAATCCGAAAAATCGACTTAGATTAAACCGAAAAATCGACGTGAATCAAGCTGAAAAATCGACTTGAATCAAACCGAAAAATTGGCTTGAATCAAGTCGAAAAATCTACTTGAATGAAGCTGATATTCCGGTGCGTACCTGTCTGAATCTGACTTCATTCATGCCGTCAATTCGACATGACACAAGTCGATTCCCGGCATGATTCAGTCCGACTTGATTCAGGTCGACTTTTTTGGATGTGTTTTGATGAAAATCTTGCTAGCGGTTACAGAAAAATCGTCAATTTTTATTTTCCTCTAAACCTAATATAAAACACAAAAAAGTTGCAAAATTACCAACTTCGCATGTTCAGTTAATTTCCCACAATAAATAACAAATAAAACTAAAGAATTAATTATGAGTATTAAACTCGATTAAAAAGACTTTAATGACAATGGGATGTATCGTCGGTTTATGAATGATCGAATTAAACTTACTCTCTCAAGAGGTTACATCGGCCTCGACATAGATTCGGCGAGGTTGAATCACACGATTCTTTCATAATGAGAATACATGCTTTCAGAATTTTTAATTTATGGAAAATGAAAATACCTATTCTCCAACGAAAATTGTTTTTCCAATTCAATTAATTTGTCATGATTCTATCTATTATCATGATTCGTTTTAGGTGAATGGAATGTTTTTCACTCATACTCTCTGTGGAACTGATTAACAATTGCGATAAAAACTGAGGGTACATCCGGTATATATAATGAACTAACTTCATTCTTATATCGACTAAAATGTGGCAACAAAGTGGTAGACATTTACAAAATCCCAATGATATAATTTTAACGAGTCAATTTTTCCGTTGAGGATGTAATGTAAAACTGCAGTTTAGTGAAGTTAGAACAGGAATTATAATGAGATGGAAGTCTAATGACGGTGACCTTTAGATATCGAATGAACTCATGCAAATCGAATTGATATGCATAAAAAAGAAAAAATAAGATTTCTAACATGTCAAATCAGTATAGACCTCCTCAGAGGTAAACAGGGATTACTCACGGGGTGGAGGGCTTAAAAAACTAACTCCTGATTTTTTCAGATTTTGTCTATAACCCGTATGGAAGAGATGATTTTGTTTGGTGTTTTTCGTATCGTGATTTAAAAAAACCTCTTGTCATGAAAAAACAGTGCGAAATTCCGAATATGCCGAACATCGCATACATATTTGATCAATTTATGGTAGGGTAAACAGGTCAATTTCTGGACGGAGGTTGGTTTCTGGACGATTTCAACTTGCATTGAATATTCCACAAATAGAATGAAAATTGGATTAATTACTTCACCTCTCCATAATATCACTTGTGTATAATCACATGATCAATTATTTTCTTCTATTGCTCAACATTTGATAAATAAAAAAAAATATGACCCAGTCGGCCAGAAATTGGGGGTTTCGGCTACATTCATCTATTTCTCCATTTAATTATTGTTTTGTTATTTTCACTTTACACAATTTTTTTCTGCTAATTAAAACATTCTTGAAGGTATGGAAGCCATCATATCCCCATTAAGGTGATTCTTTAATTTTAGATCCTACCACGACACTCGAATTTCCTTTAACCGTCCAGCAATTGGTCTGGTCACCCTAGGTTTCAAACAAGAAATCGGTGCTCTTCCGGTTAAGGAGGAAGTTACTAAATGAAAAGGTGATGACTTTTTTCGAGATGAGATAATATTCCTTAAAAGAAAAGAATAGTTTGACAGAAGGAAAAAAAGATATTGGTTCCCTTCGAACTCAAAGCGATTGAGCGTAAGTGACGGTTATATTTTTTTAATTTCTGGAGGTTTTCCTCTGCATAAACTCTCTATTCATTCAATATGAAAATCTCTGATTCATGATAGACAGAATCGAAGCTTTTAATATTTTTCGTCATTTTCTCATCTGACATGAAAAAAACGATTTCTTGTGGCAAAAAATTCTCACTTTATCATGAAATGTTCATGTTCAAGTCCTGAACACTCCACCGAAATCTGACATTGTCTGATACATTATTCGGAATTCTTAGCCCAAGAAATTTATTCTCAAGAGATGAGATATTTGGGGCAAGAAATTAGTTTTGTGATACTATGACGATATTTCTCTCATTGTATATAAATATATACAATGAGACACTATGATGTTCGGTGAAGGAAAGGGATGCCGATAGACGTATCCACGTAAAATTACGGCTGTATCAAAGATACAGCTATCTGCTGATTTTTTTTCACATAACTCGCGTTCTAATCGACCGATGTCGATTTATCAAGCACTAAAATGTTTCATTTCCAGTTACCTTTCAAAATTTGGAGAGTAAAATTCTTTTTTCAATTTCTAGATGTCGACAATGATGAATAAAGAAAAGGTGAAAATCATGAAGTTTGCCAATTGTGTCACGTTTCATTTTTAAAAAATTTTCTGGCCTTACTTCTCATCATTGAAACACGTGTTTTGAGTCATACTGGAAGTTGTCCAGAGTCATAGATCTATTTCATTTTTGCTACCGAATGGAAGCTTCGTAATCGCTCAAATATAAGTTTCCAATTTTTTGTGTTCGGGTACCTAATTATGGTTTAAAAAGTCCAAATATGCCATTTTTAAATGGTGTATGTATGTGGTCTTTTTTCTTCATTTTTTTCGAAAGTTTCTTATGAGAAATGAATCTAGTTTCATGAATTTTTCCATGAATATAGACTTTAATAAGCTCTATTCATTGACGCCAATTAAAATTGATATTTTTCCAAAAATCGATTCTTCAACGATTACTCAAAAAATTGTCATCAAAATGGAATTAGTCATGGCTCAAAAATTGCTAAGAATATGCTGTTGATTCTATCAGAATGTGATGAGGGTCGCACAATTCGTTGTTGAGTTACAACACATTGTTTATGCGATTTGAAAGTTTTTTTTCATGATTACTGCAAGTATTATCGGTAATAGCAATTTAATCAGGGCTTGAAAAGCATATTTCAATGGCTTCTTAATCAAGTTGCAAAACGGTGAGAACAGCATCATTGCTTATCAAGTTACACAATACCGTCATGAGCTTGTTATATCAAAATCTCTATCTCTATTAAACTCAGGTACCAGTCTATTATGTTAAATACCTATTCATATTGATTCATGGTTCCGACTAACTTCTGATAGAACCTGGGTTAAACTCTGGCTAAATCCTGAATAAAACCTGATTAAATCCCGGCTATACACTTTAGATCTTGATTGAACCTTGATTAAACCCGGAATGAAAACGACTTCAAGTCTTAAGAGTCTTAGAGGGTCGAAATGTAGAATTATTTGACAAAACAAAACAGTACACAAAATTTTGGTGACATTTCAAGTGATGACAGTACTATGATATGAAAAAATAGAAGAAGAGAATAGTAAAATAACTCGGAAATAAGAATTTCAAAAAACGAACCCATTCGGAAGCAAACTGCCTATTTATTAGCAATAATTGTCATACTCATTTGTCAAAAAAATGCCATTGTTCACTTGTTTTTTTTTTTTCAATATTTATGTTGATGTCTTCTACCTATTTCTTTCCGAAAATATACACCCGTCCATACCAAGGTTACGAGATATTGCCGTTTGTCCTTTTTTCACCGTGAAAGTTCTTTTGACGTTTCCCTATGTGAGTGAAGGTTGTAATGAAACCCTGAAATGTTGAGGAATGGTTAGTATCGCCGAACTACGCTCTTTTGCAAAATTGCAGATTGAGCGATTCAATAGTCTTTGGAACAGAGTGATTGACGTTAATAATGTTTTTCTCTAAAAATGACATGTGGTTGTTCTATCATTGATTTTCACATGGAGATAACGTCAAAGGTCATATAACTTTATATTATATCATTAGTTTTGAAACGCGGGGTATAGATATTCCTATCATACTGGGTAAAACTGAAACTTTATTTTCAACTTAGAAAGGTCAAACGTTCCAAGAATCAGATTTTTTTATTTTTGTAAGCACGATAACTAGAGAAAAAAAGAAGGTAGCAAGTTGAAATTTGGTATAATTATAGCTCTTATAATATTAAAGGTAGGCATTGGCTGGCTTTTTTCATTTCTACAAATGGATTTGATAGAAATAAAAATAAGCGATTCTCTAATTTTGCGTTGACATGATTCACGGTGGTATGAACCGTTGAGATATGTTTTTTTAGAGAATGTCTGTATGTGTGTGCGTTTGTCCAGAAATGTGTCAATAACTCCAGAACAGCAACTACAAAAAAGCTGAAATTTTGGCTCATAGTTGGTACTAATGAGGCACCAATTTGTGCTAAACCTCAACCCGATCGGTTGAGTAGTTCCTGAGATATAGCGATTTCTCAAAAATCGTTATTTGCAAACTCCGCACGATTCTAGGTTTTATAATAAAAAAGTTTGGTATTTTGGATGGGCGAAATCGGACGAATAGTTCTGGAGATATTCAACTTTGTATGTGAAACTTTTTTCTTTAATATCTCAAAAACCACTCAACCCAATTCAGTTTTTTGTCAAAATATTCGTTATAATGGTGGCTATCTGGTCAAATAAAAATATGAGCACCCTTTCATTGAAAGTTTTTGAGATATTTCCATTTTTCTATTTCTATGTGGTCATCTTGCTCATGTGTGCTATAATGTGGTTGAAACTTTATTTGAAGATCTAAAATCTTGGGTAGTGAACAATACTATTTAGCTATACAACTCGGGAGAATTTGAGCTTAGTGGGTTTAGAGGTCTTGAGATAGAACATTGCATGAGAAATCATCAATCACGTTAATTACCGTGTTTTTCTTTAGCCATCGGAATTTTTTATCATAATTACTTGGAATGTTATGTCACATAAATGTCTTATGTTTTTCTGAAGTTTATAACTCCATGTGTAGATGTGTTTTATCACTTCTAAATTGTAGAGGTCTTCATGTGCTCATAATTGTTTGTCAGACTGGTCCATATATGTGCGAATGGTTTCATCGAATGTAGGAACAAATATCTATGACAGTATATACCATACTTATTCGTCATGCAGGGTTTCATGACCGACTTCCTTTTAACTAAAACTGATTTTGTATGATTTTTCCCACCGATTTACGAGTTGTCTGATTTAATATAAATACACAGATCGGGACATATGCTTGCTGTAAGATTAATTGGCATATTTTTTTGAGTTTTAAATAGTCTATTTTACTTCATTTATCACCTCTGAGAACACATGCATTGCAATGGCCTATTGCGTGGGGCCGATATTCCGGATTTATAAAATTCACGGTTTACGATAGACGATATGATATAAGGCATGGTGTACATTCTAAAACTTTGGGAAAAGCATTCAATGATACTTACAAGTTATGGCCCTTCAGACCATAACTCTACAAAAAAATGTTGTTCATGGAAAACAACCGATTCATGGTGATAATTATGATTCCCTAAACATTGGAACGTATGACTTGAGATTCCTTGAATAGTGATACTCAATACAATTAAAAAATCGTTATAAGAAAATTGAAATAACGCTTCTATGTTTGGCTTCATCAAAACTTCACTTTTCAACAGAGTATCACATGAAGGACGATTTAAATGTGTACATTGTCAAAAATTTTAATCTGAATTTTCCGTGCCAAATTCCGAAAATTTTTATCGCGTTCCAATTCCACTAATATTTCGGGAAATCTTGCCATTGAAAATTCAAAATTTCATGGAAAAATCAAACAACTGTAAATTCCCGTTCCATTAGTTCTCTGAGAAGGAATAGAAAACCAGAAAATTCTGTGACATCTGAAATTTCATGATTTTTCCCCTCTAAATCGCATTCACTATCACAGTCCTGAAAATTGGTAGTCAACTAACAATGAAATTTCATTTTTTTCCCGCCTCAAGTTTTTCCTGTTTTTCATGTGTAAAAACTGAGACCGACAGGAAATGAATTCTTCTGGAATAATGATGAGATGATGAACGACACAATGCTTTTAGAGACGATCTCTCCATAGTGAAGTTTTGCGTCTACTCTCGTGGGCAGCCCAATTCAAAATCCAGTTGTTCCTTTGATTGTATTTCCTAATTCGTAGTTCTGTTGCTATTTGTTTTTTTTTTTTTTACGGCCTCCGAGTCCCTTTTCGGGTCCCATTTGGCACTCTATCCAACCCTATGCATGCGGCTGTGGATTCTACACTGTACCGCATTCGCACTCCTATAGAACATAGAAGTAGCATGGGGAAACCACAGAAAACCCATGCCAGTACAGGCGGCTCCTCTATTAGCAACCTCTCGCTCGCCGGAGCCTTCCGTTGAAAAATTCGATCCCACGGGGAATCGAACTCACAACCTTTCGCACACTAGACTTGCGTCTAATCCACTCGGCCACTGACGTCGGTTGCTGTTGTTGCCATTTGTTGCTCTCGAGAACAAATAATGGAGAACAACAAGGATTGGGCACATTCCTTAAATTTTTAAGCTAGTAATTTTTATAGAAAATGGGAATTGGATTTCGATTTAAAAAATGGTTAAATAATTAGTTTAAAAAACGAAATAAATAATGTCTTGTAAAATGTAATGGTATCACATAAGATCCTATTGCATAACGATAATCTCCACCATTATCTTCAATATCCTCAATATGAAATGCTCGACCTTTTCCACCTGTTCTGCTCTTTTCGTAACATCGTGGATGGACCGAAGAAAGGCGTTGCTTGAACAGTGCATCAGCCATCGATACTACTATGGCGAAAGTAATACCGTTTGAGTTCTTTGTTTTTTGTAAAAAGTTCCAACTTTGAGATTTCATATGTAACTTTGCTTGAGCACGATTTCGTGATGACACAGACAGATAGTGTGTCAGTAGGTTGCCGATTCCGATTGCTACTGTGGTGGCGCTGTTTGTGGTCTCAGTATGCATTGCTACGGCCCAAATTTGGAGACCTAATGAGGTCGGGTGGAAAGAGACGATTCTGTCTACTGATCATTTGTCTTCCATTCTTTGGATTTTCCAGCAAGGACTCTAAGTGATGAATGAAGAATAGGATTGAAATAGTAAATTTCAATGAAAATATCAGAGGAAGACATCTGAGACACAAATTAATGTGGTAAATCGGTTCGTTACTCAAAATAATTTAAATTTCGGTGCAACAAAATTATGTAGGAAAACAGAATTTTTTCTAATGAATTGTCTAATCAATTCCCCCCCTCACCCTCAGAAGACAATCTAGTTTTTCTAAGACTAAAAGAAAATGAACAAAAGCACTGAATTTAGAAAGCTCCAAAAAATTTTAGTTTCGATGTGGTAGAGATTTTGGACTTTTGTCATCTCCTTTGACGGTTAAAGTAACTCTACCCTTAAAGATACCTTCAAAGATTTTAAAAAACTACAAGAAATCGCATAAAAACTCTGTGTAATTCGGAATCGTAATTTTTTTCCTCATTTAATTGTCGTTCAAGTTTTTATAAATGAAAATGTTGAAAATTCATTATTTAACACAGGGTCTTATGTGAAAAACGCTAAATTTGATACAGCTCCAGTTAAAATAAAGACTAAAATCTATTTTTTTTTCCTAAAAACGAGAAAAAAATAATAAAAAATATTGGCACCTGTTAGATAACGATTTATCGTTTAGTTTTTTTGTTCGTAACAATTTCCAACCAGAATCACGGGAGACTGACTGTGAACAGGAGTAGACATGGCAACGACGGCTCGGTCAGCTGTCACTTGGCGGGACCTCTCTCACCCGTCACATTATCCTACAGTGTTGCCACTAATTTTTCCAAGCTAGTCAATTGAAAATCTATTTTTTGTAATACCTGCCTCAAAAGTTCACGTTTCGAAACCGATTAGTGTGTGTAAAGTGGTTGTTTTACGCACACCGTGCACAAAAGCAACCACTTTACCCCCACTACGGTTCCGAACAGTGAACTCGGCAGGTATTACAAAAAGTAGGATGTGTTACGCGTGCGTGCGAAAAAGTGGTTCTTTACGCACTTGTAACACAATATACTATATTCTTACTTTTGTTGAAAACTATTAATAATGAAATAATTCTTATGCTTATGTCCTTTATAAATTATTTTAATAATTTAGACATCAAAAAAATTATTGTTAGAATCGTTTTTTTCAAAAGCACTCAACGAGTCCAGCCGCAGGGGTAGAGTTACTTCAAGTGGTCGCTTTTTTCTAGCATCTCACTCGCTCTACAGTGGCACCCTATAGTTTGCGTATGGTTAAACGGGGATTCCCTCACTTTGCGACCATGTAAGAATTAACCAATGCTTGATCAATTTCCATCCCTGTCCACAACGACTTAATTTTTTTCCGACTGAAAAACGAATTGTCTCGTGGAGAACGGTGGGTTATTGGGGTGCGGGAAATGCAGGATTTTTGATGAACTACCCTGATAGAATGATTCATTTATTCCAAACGAGATTCGTTAACTATTAACGAATGAACATTTGGTGAGACCAAATAGACCCTAATCTCCAAGCAAAATCCATTCATTAACAATAACTAATCCGTTCTATCAGTGTAATCCCAAGATAGTAAAGAAATTAGATCTTTGTTCATAAGAGTGGGAATTGACGGAGCAATGTCTAAAAGAAATAAACACCCACATGAGCACCCATACAAATAAATATGGTGGCTCAAAGAGGTTATTCATTTATAGTCCCTATTTTATTACTCGGGAAAAATTCCAATCTCTTCTTGTCATGAAGATAGTTTGTGAGATTATGGTTTATTTTTGGAATCTGACTGAATTGCTATTTGTCGAAACTAGTGTGATTGAATGTGATTAAGTTGTGAGAGTAAATGTCTAAAAGAAAAGAATCTTTTAAAATAAAAACTTCTATTAAATAAGCATTTTTTCGCCTGTTCTCGAACGGAAATTAATATGTCTTTCAAAGAATACAATTTTCACAGAAAACCAAAGAAAAAGTTTAATGGAAGAAACAAACTGAGGACATCTTGAATGAATAATTAAAAGTCGGTGGGAATAATGAATCTGGAGTAGAACTGTTTGTTTCTCTTCAATTATTAAGTGGAAGTTTGTTCTATCTTGCGAAAAACAAAGGGGTTGGATTGAATTTTGAGGAAAAAATTCCACACGATATGAAAGTGTTGAAATATAGCGCCCTACGCCAGTCTCCCTTTTTACCGACAGTGTGGCAGACTGTGTCGCCACGGCGCCGTTGCGCCTCTCATTGATATACTCGTACTATGCATCACTTGTGCCGTGACCGTTGTCGCATTACGTGTCTGAATAAAGCTTAATTACTTTTACGATAATAAAACTGTGTTTAATCGTTATTTCAATCCTAAATAACCCTTCAGGTTATGGGCCGAGCACACTTCAACTGTGCGTGATTAAAATTTATCATAAATAAAAGGATTGGAAGCGATAAATCGAAAATTCCAAAAGGACGCTATCGGGCGGCCGGGCACGTGTCCGGGTGGATCACACGCGTTCGTGCAAATCAGAAGAAACATCCAAAAGAGAAAAATATCGAGGCGAGCTGGGGAGTGATTTCAAAAGGAAAGGAAAATGGAAAGTAATAAGAGGAAAAGTAAGTACTGAAAAATACATTTAATAAGTGCAGTGAATTGGCGAGACCGAGAGATAGAGGGGATCAAAATGGCGGCTGGAAATAAATTGTCCACGACGCCGACCTAAAATCGAGAATTTTAGATTAAAAAGAATTAATAAAGAAATCCCATTAAATTCACAAAAATCACTGAAAAGCATAAAATATCTTTTGTCATAAATAAAATCAAATTTAAAGCAAAACAAAAGAAGAAAGCCAAGTGACGCCGAGACAATAGTTTCTTGGCGGGGAAGGCAAGCACAGGCTTCAACAGGCTTCAACAAGTAGACGCAACGGGTGGATTGCGCGTGCAACCGGGGTGCGTCTGAGAGAGAGGGACGACTGCAGTCCACACACATTGCTCGAGCAAGGCGAGAACAATAAGAAATAGAAAGAAAAAGAAAAATTAGTGTGTATATATAAAAATTGGTGTGAAAAACAAAAATTCTCTCTTTCTCGGCCGCGTTCCGCGTGTGTGCGGGGTCCGCCAGCGTAATGTAAAGTAATAAAATAAAATCAACAGACATTAGTGCACAATTGAAATTCATGAATTAAGGATGCATCAAAATCGAAATATTTAATTGGCAAGAATATTGAATCTAGAAGTATTTGATAGGCGAGAATAACAAATTAAATATTTGACGGGTCGAACCAAAGAAATTGAATTTTTAGAAATTGCCATCTTCAGACGAAGATATTTATAAATTAAAATTACAGCTGATAAGGAACTCTTGCATGAAGTGTGGAGACTCCTGATCAGACAACATTTAATCGAAGGAAACCACGAGGGAGAACTAGTCTCCCTGGCAATAGTAGACGATAAAGTGTATGTTCTACCAGACAAAGGAACAGGATATGTAACAGGTGAGACATCAGGCATACGTGTTAATGGGCGAGCATACTATACACATTAGAAACGCGGAATATTAAGACGTCAAATTGCTTGAGAAAATTAAATCAATCTCTTGCAATCATAAAAGACTTGAGTGTGTTTGGAGGAGGTCTTATGTTTAGATTTTCTGAAGAGCACACTCATCCTGGATTCGGTTTGTTTATGTTTAGCAAGTCGAGTCTGGGATTTCGGACCTGAATACAAAAACTGTAACCAGATACAATAATCCTCAATTTTTCGGTCTCTTTAAAATTAGATAAAAGAGAATTCACAGGGGATCAATGGAGATGTCTAACTGTGTTAGAAGCTGCATTGTTGGCCGAAAATAAGCCAATGTATCTACCAGGTTACGGTCCGAAGAGTCCAATGTCAACAACAGCTGTAATCGAGTATAGGTCAAGGAACATGAACAAAGACTTGGGAAACACGGAGGCGAGGGCCACAGGCGAGTCCAAGTCAAGCAAATTGACTGGAGGCGAGACGAATGGCGGCGAGATAAGTGCAGGCGGGAAAAACACAGGTAATATTAATGTTGACAAAACTGACCAAATCAAACCGAAACCCAAGATTACAGCAGACAATAAAGTAAATATTAAATTGAAATTGATAAAATCTAATCTAGATGATGAAACAGTTGAGCCTAACGGCAACAAGACTGTCAAGACAGTTTCTGTAGACATACAGCTGGCTGAGCTGAAGAGCATGGTGGAAAAATTGTGCAACTCAAATATAACTTCAACAAAGGCACTGTATGAAAGTTTAACAGAGAACAGAAACCAGTTAAGACTAAATGCTGAGGCGAGAGCAAAAGATAAAAAGGAAGTACAGGAGCTGTTGAGTGCCCTGGACAAAAAGCACAACGATAAAATAGAAGAAGTAAAAAGAACTTTCAATGAATATCGCACTAATGTCGAATCATCAATTAAGGTAACAACAAACAAGAAAAAATTAGACGGAGGAGTGGCGTCAAATGAGCATACGAATCTAGAAAATCAAATTAGTTCAATAGTCAATAAGCAGATTAATGAAATTAATCAGACAAAGTCAAGTCAAGGAAACAATCAAAATCCGTTGAAACAATTAACTAGCGAGGTAACAAATAAATTACAAATAGAATTGCTTAACAAAGGAATGAGCTTTAAAAGAGATTATAAAATGGACAGCAAAATGAAGTATGAACATTTCTATGATTATTTTTCGTCAGAAATCAAAACGAATAAACTCTTACACATCATTGACGATAGCATTCTGGTTACTGTGGATGAGGAAACTCTTGCAGAACAGAAGCATAAAGTTAGAGAAATTCTGATAAACCATTTGGATAGAAGTTATCACCCTAAAATCGTCAAACTACAAGATCCAAAAGAAATATTGAAAAAATTAAAAGAATTAAAAATGGCCGAGTTTAATGTAACTTCACACTCGGTGAGACAAGACCTGTATAATATGAGATACAATCCAACCAAAATGACAGCTGGCGAGTTTAATGATTTGTTTGATGAGAAAATTGCAACGTATGAAAATGCTCCTGACACCATTCCTCTGAGTGAAAGCGAAAAGAAAGATGCATTTTACAATGCAGTAATAAAAGCTTTTCCGAATATTAAAATCATTGAAAAAGTAACAAAGAAAGCTATAGGAGTGGGCTTGACGTTTGGCGAGTTGAAAATTGCGATGTTAGAAGAAGAAGCTACGACGAAAAGTGAGCTCTTAGATTCAGATCTTAAAACTGCTAATTTTGCACAGCACAAGGGGCCGAGGTGTTTTGCCTGTCAGGCGTATGGGCACAAAGGACCAGACTGTCCCAATAAAGGGAAAGGATACTTGTGCTACAAGTGCAATCAATTTGGGAATCACAAGGCGAGAGATTGCCCAAACATAACTAACAATGACAATGCACCAAGTGGTCCGGGATACTCTAAACAGACTCCAAGGTACAATTCCAATTTTAAATTTAACTATCGAAACAATTATCAAGATCAATATAGAGGTAATGGTAGAGGAATGAAAAGACCAATGAGAGGTGAAACATATGGTCCAATTAAAAGAGGAAGATTTAATAAGAGTAGGTTCTCCTATAAGAGAAGTGAGAACAAACATGGGTTTAAGTCATCTCACAAATCAATCAAGAAATCTAATCCCGACAAAACTACAGAGAAAAATAACTCCAATCAAGGTAAGGAAAAAGAAAATTATGATCAATCAACTACTGAAATATTTTATGCAGATAGTAAACAAACAAATGGAAATAAGTTTTTGACAGACTTTCTAGCAGACTCAGGCGCGACCGAGCATTTAACAAATTCCAGAATTATATTTAAAACTTTTAACGAATTAGATTGTGGAGTAATTAGAAGTGCGAATAAAAATGAGTCAGCGGACTTGAAAACGGAGGGAGCAGGAACAGTAGAAATCGAACTGGCGAGCGGTAAATTATTAGAAATTGACAACGTTATTTTTGCAGAAGCTCTTAAAGCAAATCTGCTATCATTAAGAAAATTTGCCGAAATGGGATTAGCAATCTACTTAGATGACAAGAAAATTGATATATTTGATCTAGTGTCGAATGAACTTTTCATCTTGGGGATTTACAGAAAACCTTACTGGATAATCGATTTAGAAATAGTAAAGTCAAACTCTATCAGTGAGAATTCTTTCAAGCAAATAAACAGGCGAGTAGTAGGAAATGTAGCTGATGTCACTGGGGGTGAAAATGAGGTGAAAAGATATCTCACCAGACGTGTCACAGCAAACTTACAGAACGAAACAAGTGAAAAAACAAACGAAAGTGATAAGAGTAATGAGGAAGAAAATAAAATGGATGAAAAGCATAATGAAAAGGGGAGTGAAAATTTAATAAAAGAGAAAATTATTAATAAAGAAAAGATTCCCTATGAACAATCAAATTTTGATTACACCATTTGGGACAGAAAATTGCAAGATGTTGATGAATTACGATGGGATGACTCGTTAGAAGATTTCCCCAAACTTTCAATTGATAAAAATAGCTATATGAGGAATCATGATGTCATGTTGTGGCATTGTAGATTTGGACATTCCTCAACGAGTTACCTCAAGGCACTACAAAAGAAATTCCCAGATAACAAAGAATTAAATGCAGTAAAATTTGATGATGAATTCATTAGAGATTGTGAGGTCTGCTTAACGTCTAAATTCAATAAATTATCATTCACGTCGGTGCGCAGGCGAGCAACAGCACCATTGCAAATAATTCACTCAGATGTGATGGGACCTATTACTCCAATTTCTCATCCTAAGGGATCCAGATTTATTTCTGTGTTCATCGATGACTTCTCAAGATTCGCTATGGCTTATCCAATGAAGGCGAAAAGTGAAATAGGACATTGTCTTGAGATGTTCATTAGAAGCGCGCGTAATCTACTGGGCGGAATTACAGTTAGCTTCCCCTGATACACCTGAACACAATGGTGTCGCTGAGAGATTTAATCAAACTATCCAGAAAAAAAGGTGAGGTGTTATATGTTTGACTCGAGACTGCCAAAGGGCATGGGGGATCTGGGCTTAACTGCTGCAGTTTTCGCTTACAATAGGACTCCACATAAATCAAACAATATGATAACTCCTTTAGAAAGATTCGCACCTGATCACAGCTTTGATATTAATCAAATCAAAAGATTCGGTAGTTTAAGCTATATAAAAATTGCTAGAAATGCTGGCCCAAAATTTGGACCTCGAGGTGTAGGTATGGTCTTGGTTGGATATACTCCACCAGGGTATCAACTCTTAAAGCCAGAGGTAGGAAAATATTATGAAAGTAGACATGTTAAATTCAATGAAAAATTAGTGTATGGAGATAAATACAAGGGAAACGGTATCAAAGATTTCCCAGACTATGGAGAAATGGAGAATAATGATGAATGGTTTGTTAAGTTCGAAAAGAATCGAGGAGAGACCGAGGATTCTTTAAAACCGGAGGGAGAGATAAAGCGCAGAAGAGGTAGACCAAAGAAAGAAGTTTCAGAACAAAACACTATCAAGAAAGTGAAAACAGTTGACATAAAAGATAAAATAATAAATGATAATACCTTTTCAGAGTTGGAAATTGATGAGAACATGAAAGGAAATATTTTCTTCACTAGTGTTATCAGTAATGTAGGCGAGATAGATTTAGCACAAAAGGAAGATGAAGTGTATCATGCACTTTTAGCAAACATAAATGAAGATCCCTCAAATTATCGAGAAGCTATAAACAGTAAAAATAAAGATTCTTGGTTAAATGCGGTTGATGAAGAATTAAACTCGTTAGAAAGAAATCAAGTATGGAAAATTGTCAAAAAACCTCTAAGTATGATGAATGGAAAAAGATTAAATGTCATTGATTCAAAATGGGTTTTTAAGTGTAAAAATGAGGCAAATGGAAAAATAAGATTCAAAGCGTGACTAGTAATCAGAGGTTTCAAGGGTAAGAACATTTATGAATTAAGGGAAACTTATGCTCCAGTAGCTCGTTTACCTCTAGTGAGAATAGTTATATCGATTATAAACAAATATAATCTAGAGGTGTGTCAGTTAGATGTTAAAACTGCTTTCCTCAATGGGTTAATAGATGAGGAAATTTATATGGAAATTCCAGAAGGAACTAATCATACTGACAGAGATAGGCAAGAAAATGTGTGCAAATTGGAAAAAGCACTTTATGGTCTTCGTATCAGTCCCAAACGGTGGAATGTAAAATTCACCGAAGTAGCTTTGAGTATGGGTTTGCAGAACTCGGATTTAGAACCTTGCTTATTCACTTGGCGAGATGAAGACAAGTTCTTGCTTTTGCTACTTTATGTAGATGATATGTTATTGACGAGTAATGATAACGATAAATTGGCTGAAGTAAAGAGTAACTTATGTAGCGAATTTGAAATAACAGTCCTGGGAGAACCCAAGGAATTCTTAAGCATGACTATTAGGCGGGACAGAGAAAATCAGATTATCAAATTAAATCAGGAAAATTATATTCAAAAGATATTAAGTAGGTTTGGCTTTGATAAATCATATCCACAACGTACACCAATGAATACTTCTCAAGTAGTTAATAATGAGAGAAAATTGAGAGAAACAGAATATGATAATGGGACTTTGGAAAGGACAGAAACAAAAGCAAACATTCCTTATAGAGAGGCTGTAGGTAGTCTTTTGTATTTGGCTGGTGCTACGAGACCAGATATTGCATATGCGGTCAATGTGATAAGCAGACATCAGGTAAACCCTAAAGAAAGTGACTGGGAAATGGTAAAAAGAATTTTCCGGTATTTGAGAGGTACTACGGGCTTAGGTCTGAGATATTCGGGAGAGAACAATGACATTCAGGGTTATTCTGATGCGCGTTTTTCTGATTGTAAAGATTCTATCACAACTTGTGGATTTGTGATTAGACTGTTTGGTGATTCGATCATTTGGCGAACTCACAAACTACAGTAGCACTCTCCACGTGTGAAGCTGAGTATGTCGCAATGAGCGAGGCGAGTCGAGAAATGATATCGTTGCACAACTCTTTGAAACTGATACTGGTTGATCCCCCCGTTCCAATGATCTTAAGGTGTGACAATAAAGCCACAATTGTTAGTGCAGAAACAAATGGAGGAATGAAATTGAGACACATTGTGGAGAACAAATTACATTATATAAAGGAATGTGTTAAAAAGAATTATATAAAAATCATTTGGATTGGCTCAAGGGATCAGCTAGCTGATGTTTTCACCAAACCATTGACGTTTGAAACACACAAGCGTTTGGTGGATCTAATAATGAACGTAAATATCTAAATTATTTCTTTCTGTTTATCTAGGAAGTAACCGATTAGGCGAGATGGAAACTGAGGAGTTAAAACCAACTGAAATTACCTGACAAGAATACTGAGGCGAGATAAAGTTACCAAAAATAAGAATAAGAAATTTTGTGATTAACGAGAATAGAATACTAGGAGAGAAGAAGACTGGAGAGGAAAAGAGGATACTGCCTATGGCGGGAGGGAGTGTTGAAATATAGCGCCCTACGCCAGTCTCCCTTTTTACCGACAGTGTGGCAGACTGTGTCGCCACGGCGCCGTTGCGCCTCTCATTGATATACTCGTACTATGCATCACTTGTGCCGTGACCGTTGTCGCATTATGTGTCTGAATAAAGGTTAATTACTTTTACGATAATAAAACTGTGTTTAATCGTTATTTCAATCCTAAATAACCCTTCAGAAAGCAATTCTTTGCTTATTTTGACAAAATTAATGAAATAATTTACTACCTAAAAATGAAACAAATATTTTTGTAAAAAAAACTGGGCCAAAGAAAAGTCCCGTTTGGTTCTTACTGGAAAATAGAAATTTTTTAATGAAAATGTAAAGAATCGAAAAGAAATGCCAAATCAGAAATGTCAAATGAATAGTCATAAAGTACGCTCACATTTCTATAAGAATAGTAGATTATGTCATAAGACCGATTACTACCGCTATTTACCGATAGCGGCATTGTGAACACATGGTGGATTACGTTTCTCGTCCAAATTTCAGCGGTCGGTAGTGCACAGGGTTGCCAGATGTGGCTATAAATAGCCAAACTGGCGATTTTGGAACCTTTCTGGCGGGACAATTTCTTCGCCAACCCGCCAATTCGCCACGTGGCGATTTTCGGGAATTTCGGGAGAAGCCAACTCGCCACTTAGCAAATTTTGAAAATATTGAAGGAAAAAAATGGAAACAAAAAATTCTCTCTGTAGCCTTCTCAACGAATTTCGTTCGACAATTGAATTTTCGCGGGTATTCTTGGACGGTGACTCTTGCCGGCATTGTTGTCAGCAGTGTCTGGCAGCACTAGTTATAGTAACTTGTAATTGGAAACTCTCCACAGATAGATCACGTGATCTCTGTTTATATTTTGATTTCCAGCCGCGGGTTGCCGGTTACAAGTCCGTACAAGTCTACGAGTCGTTGTTCCAAGTAGTATCGAATCGTCTCAGAACCCCTTGACAAATTGCAGTGTGTCTCTGAGCAAAATGGTGTTGATAAAAAAAAAACCTACGGTAATCAAAGAATCAAATAAGCCAGTTAATAAACAGAGAAAGAAACCTATGAAACATAAGAATGATGAATCGGACGAGTCCGTGTCTTCACCCTCACAAGTTTCCAAGAAAGCGAGAAAAAGTGTTAAGAAAGAAGTGGCAAGACCTTTTAACAGCAGTTGGAAGAAAGAAGAACAATTTGCAGGTAATGTAGTGGAAATTTGGAATAGATAGGATTTTATGTATTGATGACATTCATTGTTTGTAGGATGGTTAGCTCCAGCGCCAGAGAGTGTTTTCATCAAGAACAAAAGAGAGGCCTTTTGTAGATGGTGTCAGAAAGGGTTACGTGCCCACAAGGCAGACCTTGAAGTCCACAGTCAGACACTACGTCACAGGCAACGAGCAGATGAACTTGATACTTCAAAACAGAAGAATCTAGCACAGTGCGGTAAGACACTCAATGCAGTTCATTCCTACATTTTCGGTTATTATGAGTTTATCTCGGATGAAAGTCATTTCGGGAGGAGATCTGTAAGGTACTTTTTTGTAGCTTGTAAAATCCTCTCAAAAAAATGTTCTTTAACATTTTTTCCTAAAATCATTCTTCATAAAGTTAGTTGAATATTTTGAGAAATATAAAAAAATTTACTTGTTCCGTTTTACCACTGCATGACTGACTTTTTCTCGTCGCTGAATTCCAATCACTCCTGTTTCCTCACCCTTTAATTTCATCATGTATTCTAGGTGTTGATAAAAAATCTGACCTTTCAAAGAAAACAGACATTGGTCTGGCAATACACGTGGCATGTCATAGCTCTGTACGTACCATCGATCATTTGTCTGACCTATTGAAAAAGCTCGGTATTGGAAGTGTTCTTGAGAAGTTACAATTACATCGAACCAAAACCTCTAAGCTCATTTTGAATGTGATAGCACCTGCGTTCATGAAAGAGCTAGTTGACGATGTTGGTGAAGAGTGTTTTTCAATAATAGTTGATGAATCAACGGATGTATCTACTTCCAAATACATGGCTTACGCCATCAAATATTTCAGTCAACGAACTCAACGCATTATCACCAATTTTTTTGGATTCACGAGGGTAGGATCGGCTACAGCAGAACAACTTCATCTGGACTTCAAAGAATTTGTCAGATAGTGAGTTGGATATCAAGAGAATGATTGGCATTGATACAGATGGAGCGTCCAATATGTGCGGCCACAACAACAGTTTATTTACCCTTTTACGAGAAAGCCAGCCCAGCTTGCAGCTTATTAAGTGCATGTGTCATTCTGTTGCTTTGGCTGCTTCAAAAGCTGCAGATGAATTACCCTCTGAGGTTGAGAATTTAGTGAAACAAAGTAAAAACTACTTCTCTCACAGCTCACTTCGTCTGGAAAAGTGGGAGGCATTATACAAGGAGCTGAATGAGGGTAAAACGCCCCTACGGTTGGTTGCGTTGTCGACTACACGCTGGTTGGCTTTTTACAATGCTGTATCCGTGATTCTGAAGCAATGGAAGGAATTGAAGGAATTTTTCACCAAGGCAGCAACATCATTTGATCAGAAAAACAGAAGTACGAATGTTAGCAGAGACATACAAGAAGGATGATGTGTTATTGTATTTGGAACTTGTGGAGACTGTTCTCAGAGATGTCATGGCTTTAAATATCGCTTTCCAAAAATCGAATGCTGATATTACTGCTCTTCATGATGATCTACGTACGTCGATACTTTCTCTGGCCCGACGAATTTTCAAACCAGTATTTCTCAGACCAATAGTACGTGAATCTAATCCATCAAATATCAAATTACATCAAGCTGATCTGGATGCTGTGAAGAGAGCCATTGATAAAGCAGGCGATTCATTCGAAAATTCTCTCTTATCAATTGATGCTGTAGACTTTGGTCTAAAGTTCTCAAATCATGCTGAACAATGCACCTTAAAGAAAACAATCACAACACAGGACTTGAACATTGTGAAACAGAGGGCTCGATCGTACATTCTTAAGATTGTTGCCCAATTGGTTAAACGATTACCACATAATCTTGGAGTTATTGAGAAAATCAATTGCTTTACCCCTGCTGTATGTTTGGCCCAAACAAATTCAATCTCTGCCAGAGATCTGCCCTGGGAGCTCGCAGGTAATTTATCCTCAACGTCTATATTACAAATATAATTCTCTTCTGAAAAGCTACATTCTATTTTCTGTTACAGATGAAACCATCGATCGGGATGGAGTGGAATCTCAATTGAGAAAACTCCAAACAAAAAGGCTAGCTGATATTTCTCTAGATTTCAGTGATGCAGTGAGCCCTGAAGAATTTTGGATTGGGGTAAGGCGACTGAAGAATAAAAATGGAGAGAGAACTTTCAATGACGTGGCAAACTTTGCTCTAAGAGCTCTGACTTTACCGACTAGTAACGCTGATATTGAGCGTATCTTCAGTGTTATGACAATAGTCAAGAATAAATTGAAGAATCGAATGCTTTTGCCAATGCTGGTGGCAATAATTCGTATAAAAGTCCACCTGAGAGTTTATGGTCACTGTTGTCATGACTATGAACCCACACGTCATATGCTCGACTTATTTAACAGCAAATTGTATGAGAAGAATGCAATGGAGAAAAATAAACAGGGAGAAGAGTTAACTCTTACACTTGAGGCTCTAGAACTCGATGAAGCTGCTGAGATGTTCGATTTGCTTGCACAATTCGAAGAGAAATGTCTCCACTAGTCCTCACGCAATGACTGAACTTGATGACTTAATTTAACTTAATTCTTGTTACTAAATTCGAGATAATTTATCTAAGAGATAACAGTTTATGTTTCAAAAATGTATCAAAGTTCATGACTACAAAGAAAAATATTGAACTTTTTATTAATAAACTTGAAAATATCAACGAAAATTCAATTTATCCACTTAATCCCTCTTGAATTTTTCCCCCATCCACAGTGGCGACTTCTCGGCGTTTTCGTTCCATGCCAGTGGCGGGTTCTGGCGATTTCCGCCTGGGGCGCTGGCGAGGAGGGATCCTCATCATCTGACAACCCTGGTAGTGCAAGGCACGGCTCTGCTGCCCACAGCAATTATTGGTTTCCTATTGTTTTCTTGATATAAAATGCCTACCAGTTACATCACTATGCTCACACTGACGCTGGAAAATATTTTTAACTTTGTAAAGGACAATGAACAGTCAAGGAACATCAAATAAGGGCAGAAAGTCTTGGTCTCCAAAAAATGGTTTCTTTGTGATGTACCATCAAGAAGTCCCAAAGAGATTCACATTTATTTGCTGTGTCTACAAATAAGTGGTTTGATTGAATCAACTTCTGAAATAACGGACATTATCGATGTCAACCCTCACACACAATCAATATGGATACGTGTAAATTGAGAATACAGATCGTATATACTCCGAAATTGGAGTTGGAGTGAAAACTTAATTACCTGCTAAGACAAAATCCTCAAACGTGAAATGTGAATTACATACACGTGAATTTTTCAATAATTTCCTCATTTTTAGGTGTTCAATTCCCAAATCCCGAATAGAAATAACATTTATTCCACCATTATTTTTCGAGGTTATTACTGACATTCGGTCGATCTCATACTGGAATCCGATGAAAAT